GATGGCCATCTTTGGGATCTACCACACAATGGATACGAAGGTTGGAAACGACTTCATTCGCGGTGTCAGCGGAGGAGAACGCAAGAGAGTCAGCATTGCTGAGGTCACCCTCAATCAGAGTGCAATACAATGCTGGGACAATAGCACACGAGGTTTAGACAGTGCAACAGCGCTCGAATTTGCTAGAATACTGAGACTCTCAACACAGTTGGCTGATACGGCTGCTATTGTGGCGATGTATCAAGCCTCTCAGCCCGCCTATGATGTCAGTCTGCGAAGGGGATGTCCTCGACGATTGTCTCTTGCTAACATATCTCCTCTAGACGTTTGACAAGGTTGCCGTTCTGTACGAAGGCAGACAGATATTCTTTGGCCATAAGGACGATGCCAAAGAATATTTTACCAATATTGGGTATCATTTCTCAGACCGACAGACCACAGCCGATTTCCTCACCTCTTTGACCAACCCTGCTGAGCGTATTGTCCAGCCTGGCTTTGAGAACAGGGTACCAAGAACGCCGGACGAGTTTGCCGAAGTTTGGAAAAAGAGCGAGGTCAGGGCTCAGTTACTACGAGACATTTCTGCTTTTGAAGAGAACTTCCCACTCGAAGGCGAAGAGATACAGAAACTTGGAGCTGCTCGACGGGCACAGCAAGCTTCTTTAGTGTCAGTATTCTTGCATCCATTTTTGATCTGACTACACATACTGAGTCATATTACAGGCGTGAGAAGTCTCCGTACACCATCTCAATTCCCATGCAAGTTCATTTGTGCATGACACGAGGATTCCAGCGACTTCGAGGCGACATGACTTTCTTCCTCGTTACTGTCTTCGGTAATCTTGTCGTCTCACTTGTCCTCGGTAGTGTCTTTTATGATCTACCCTCTACTGCTGCATCTATGAACAGCAGATGTATACTTCTTTTCTTCGCTATTCTTTTCAATGCGCTTAGCAGTGCACTGGAGGCAGGTAATGGTGCTTCTAGTATGCAGAGCCTGGCTAATTATTGCAGATTTTGTCTCTTTACGCTCAACGACCTATTGTGGAGAAGCAGGCTCAGTATACGCAGTATCATCCATTCGCGGAAGCCGTATCTTCAGCAATTTGTGACCTTCCAAGCAAGATCTTATCAACTATTGCATTCAACATCCCTCTCTACTTCATGGCCAACCTTCGACAAGAAGCAGGTGCATTTTTCATCTTCCTGCTCTTTGGATTCACCTGCACCCTCACTATGTCGATGATACTGAGAACAATCGGTCAAACGTCTCGGACAGTTCACCAGGCATTGACTCCTGCCGCAATATTCATTCTTGGGCTGGTTATATACACGGGGTTCATCTTGCCTACACGCAGTATGCAAGGCTGGCTGCGATGGATCAACTACATCAACCCAATTGCCTACGCGTATGAAAGTATTGTTGCAAATGAATTTTCGGGACGACAGTTCCCTTGCACTCAGTTTATCCCAATGGGTCCAGCCTATCAGGACACGACGCCGTTACAAAGAACATGTGCGGTGTCGGGTGCGGCCCCGGGTGCTGACTTTGTAGACGGAAGCACGTTCGTGAATCTCAGCTATGGCTACTATCGCTCTCATATATGGAGGTTCGTCAATCGCGTATCAAACGTGTCTTGTCTGTAGAGATCGGTTCAAGTTGACTTAAGAGCAGAAATTTTGGCATTCTAATCGGGTATATCATTTTCTTCGGACTTGCGTACCTCTTAGCCGCCGAATACATCTCGTCCAATATCTCAAAGGGCGAGGTCCTCTTGTTTCGCCGTTGCCATAAGGATCTTTCCTTTCCCAGGTCCGAAGATGAAGAGTCGCGAGGAACGAGCAGCAACGAAAAGACTAGCGCCACAAGAGAAGCCCCTGCTGACCTTGCAGACGAGTCAAATGTCGGCGTTCAGCGACAGCAGGGAGTTCTTCACTGGAAAGACCTCAGCTACGACATCTCCATCAAGGGCAAAGGGAGGAGAATACTTGACCATGTCAACGGCTGGGTCAAACCAGGAACGCTAACAGCCTTGATGGTATGTTTTGAGATATGGAGGGGCGAGATGTAGACTAACGCGCTAGCAGGGAGCAACAGGAGCTGGAAAGACGACGCTTCTGGATGTTCTTGCGAACAGAGTGACCATGGGAGTAGTGACTGGAGATGTGTCAGTCAATGGCTATCCCCGCGGGAAATCTTTCCAGCGCAAGACTGGCTATGTTCAACAACAAGATCTTCACCTCGAGACTGCGACTGTAAGAGAAGCTTTGAGATTCAGTGCAGCCCTGAGGCAGCCGGCAACAGTATCTACAGAAGATAAATATGCCTATGTAGAAGATATGATCAAGCTTCTGAACATGGAACAATATGCTGATGCTGTCATTGGGGTGCCTGGAGAAGGTAAGTAAACCACCAATCATGACGAGTACCACGTATGGACATGACTGACAGTGGGAAAGGTCTTAATGTCGAGCAGAGAAAACGGCTTACTATCGGCGTGGAGCTGGCGGCCAAGCCTGATTTACTTCTCTTCCTTGACGAACCTACATCCGGCCTTGACAGTCAGACAGCATGGTCAATCTGCACTTTGATTAAGAAGCTGTCAGATAACGGCCAGGCGATTCTCTGTACCATTCATCAACCGTCGGCATTGATTTTTGAGCAATTTGATCGTTTACTTCTCTTATCGAAAGGTGGTAAGACTGTTTACTTTGGAGATGTTGGCGAGAACTCAAAGGTTCTTACGCGCTATTTTGAGAGGCATGGAGCGACGGCTTGTGCGCCAGATGAGAATCCAGCAGAGTGGATGTTGAAAGTCATTGGTGCTGCCCCCGGAGCCCATACAGACAGAGACTGGTTCGAGACCTGGTGTCACAGTCAGGAGTATAGTGTGATGCGAAGGGAGTTAGACGAACTTGAGAAACATGGAGCATTCGCGACAGACCCTGACGCAAGTGCTGAGCTGGCGACGACTTATGCTGCGCCCTTGACGACCCAAGTCCTCATGTGCACGCAAAGAGTCTTTCAACAGTACTGGCGCACTCCCTCGTACATATATTCCAAGTTGATTCTATGCGGCGGCACGGTGAGTACATAATCATCAACCATGATCCAGAAGAAGCTGCTCTGACAGTCAATTAGAGTCTATTCATCGGCGTATCATTCTACAAAGCGAAGCTATCGATTCAAGGTTTACAGGGTCAGATGTTTTCCATCTTTATGCTCATGGTCATTTTCGCCTTCTTGGTTTACCAGACCATGCCTCATTTCATCACACAGCGCAGCCTCTACGAAGCGAGGGAACGATCTTCGCAGACGTATGCGTGGTATGTCTTCGTCGTTGCAAACATTGTTGTGGAACTGCCATGGAGTACGATCGCATCATTGGTGGTTTTCTTCCCGTTCTATTATTTGGTTGGGATGTACAGAAATGCAATTCCGACGGACGCTGTCCATGAGCGTGGCGGTTTGATGTTCTTTCTCATGTGGTCGTTCATGCTGTTCGAATCAACTTTCGCTGATATGGTCATTGCCGGTATACCAACGGCAGAGGTCGGCGCAACTATCGCACTCCTTCTCTTTGCGCTCTCTCTTATATTCTGCGGGTAAGTTGATTCCATGGATGCAAAAGATGCTTGCTGACAAGCCATCCTCGCAGTGTAATGGCGCCTCCCGCTGCCCTGCCGGGCTTTTGGATCTTCATGTACAGGGTCTCACCATTCACATATCTCATCAGTGCCATGCTGTCAACCGGCGTGGCTAATACCGAAGTGCATTGCTCTCAACTTGAGCTACTTACCTTCAATCCCCCCACTGGTACAACTTGCGGAGACTACATGACACCGTACATTCAGATGGCTGGCGGCGCGGTGTACAATCCTTCAGCGACCGAAGTATGCCAGTTCTGCTCTTTTGCAGACACGAATGTCTTTTTGAAGTCCGTAGTCTCTGATTTCGGAGAGAGGTGGCGGAACCTCGGGATCATATGGGCATATATCGCATTCAATGTCTTTGCGACTGGCTTCTTGTACTGGCTGGCTCGAGTGCCAAAGAGCTGGAGTTTCAGGGGCTTCATTCGGCTGCTCACCAAGTCACGCACTCGCTCGACAACATGAGGTTAGCATTTTTAAAAAGGCTAACTACTCTGTTACGATGTGTCATTATAGACAGGGCAGATCATTGGACTTATTCGTTTCCTTTTGTGTCGTTGCTTCAGGATCTTTACTTTCGCTTTTCCTTCTTCTCCTTCACCCCTATTATAGAGGCTGGTCAACGCAAGACCAACGCGTCGCACAATTATATTATCTTACGCCTACTCGAGTAGATTCCTAGCATATACTATTAGAGATTATAATAGTGACTACGTATTAGATCCGATTTTACCAACGCAACAGCTTGCACGCCTTATTGTAGATAGGAATGGCCCAGCATCAAGACCATCCATCCCATGGTTTACAATAGCGGGTGTCTTACTGAATCGTGCTAAATGTTGGTGCTAGGTGGAAAAGCTTGTGGTGCCTGCTAGGTACCTGGCTGGCCTGTAGATGTCCAGGTGCCCCACCTCCCGTCCCTCCACGCTAAACTATCTTATCCTTATCCTTATCCGATAATAAATGAACTTTTTTTTTTTCTCTTTCTCTTCCCGCCTGGAACCATCACACACAGAGCCAAGTCGGTGAGAACAGCCGCGACGATGGCAGACGATGGCATGCTCCTCAACTTTGAGATTGGCGACCTCCCAATCAAAAGCCAAGTCAAATTCAAGGGCGGCCGCTGGAGAGATCGCAATCGAGCCAACAATACCGCAAAGCACGACAGCCAAAACCCGAACAACACCCCGCTCAGTGATCGCTCGACCTCGAGGAGAACAACAACAGATCATGACCATGACTTCCATGACTCGAGCCGCCCCTATAAGAGACAGAGAACAGATCTCGGGGCGAGATTATCCTCTAACGGAGCCGAGCCTCGTTCATTCAGCCATGGCAATAGGCCCCCAATGAAGCTGGGCCCTGATGGAAAACCCCAGCAAATAACATCGAGGTTGTTCTCGTTCAATCCCACTCACACCACGATCATCGGCGACGCACCACAAGACGCGCAGGATGCCGAGCCTATCAAGCCTTCCAATGCACCTCTGACAGAGGAGGCCGAGAACTTCCTTGCGTTGGGGCTGTCGCGGCGGATGGCGCAGCACCTATCCACGAAGCTGGAGATGAAGGCGCCGACGTCCATCCAGAAGAATACAATACCGAAGTTGGTGAAGGAAGACAGCGACGCTTTCTTGCAAGCAGAGACAGGATCAGGCAAAACGCTGGCGTACCTCCTACCTATTGTGCACAGGATAATGTCACTGAGCCACACGGAGGATGGAAGCAATACAGGCACAAAAATACATCGAGACTCAGGACTGTTTGCCGTCATCCTTGCTCCCACCCGAGAACTGTGCAAGCAGATTTCCGTGGTCTTGGAAAAAGTTCTACGAGGCGCTCCCTGGATCGTCAGCACCTCCGTCATTGGAGGGGAGAGCAAGAAGTCTGAGAAGGCAAGGTTGCGTAAAGGAGTAAATATTTTGATCGCAACTCCTGGTCGATTGACCGATCACCTTGACAATACGAAGGTTCTTGACGTGGGGACAGTGCGGTGGCTTGTTCTCGATGAAGGAGATCGTCTGATGGAGATGGGCTTTGAGGAAGATATCAGAACCATTGTTGGCAAGATTCGAAAGGAGCAACTACTCACCAAGAACAAGGAGGGTGCTGTGTTAAGTCCAGCGCTTCCTTCAAGGCGAGTCACCGTGCTTTGCTCCGCGACCATGAAGATGAATGTTCAGAGATTAGGAGAAATCAGCTTGGAAGATGCAATTCACATCACCGCTTCTGACGATGGGTCGAAAGATGGCCCGGTCGGCGAGGTCAACGAAGCCGTGTTTAGCGCTCCGTCGCAACTCAAGCAGTCCTACCTCATTGTGCCTGCGAAGCTACGGCTGGTGACACTTATAGCGCTGCTCAAATCCTCCTTCGCTCGCCGTGGGTCTGTCATGAAAGCTATTGTTTTCATATCGTGCGCAGACTCGGTAGACTTTCATTTTGAGCTTCTGAAATCTACAGCACCCTTGGAGCCTCCTTCTCCCGAGTCGCCAGCAGCAAAGGAGAAGACATCAATCGCAACAGATGGCAGTGTGGCCCCGGCAGCATACATCACATCGCCAGCAAATCCATCCATCACCCTGCACAAGCTGCATGGATCATTATCCCAGCCAATTCGCACTGCAACACTACATTCCTTTACTACCTGTAAGAACCCATCAGTTCTCATCACGACCGATATCTCTTCCCGAGGTCTCGATGTGCCCGCGGTCGACCTTGTCATCGAGTACGACCCGGGCTTCAGCGTGGCTGATCATGTTCATCGAATTGGAAGAACAGCACGTGCAGGCCGGCCAGGAAAGGCAGTTCTCTTTTTAATGCCAGGTTGCGAAGAAGGCTATGTCTCTCTACTCTCGTCTTCATCACCTCTTACACCGCAGCTGTATGACTCTGTTTTGCAGAAAGGTTTTGCATCGCCTATTGACTTCCCACCGACGCCTACTGGCTCAGGCGAGAACGGGGATGCGCCAACACCACAGCCCGAGAAGCAGTCTTCAAATGGACGAGCTGAGTCGCTTCAGCTGCATATTGAGCAACGCCTTCTTGCCTCCGACGAGACAAGTGAAGAGCCCAGCTCTAAGTCCAAATCTCCGAGGAAAGCAAAAACTAAAGCACCACCGAGGCCGAATCGAAACACGTTGCTCAACTCCGGCAGGCAAGCTTTCCGCTCACATATTCGCGCGTATGCCACCCATGTGCGCGAGGAGCGAGGCTTCTTTGATATCACTCAGATGCATCTTGGCCATGTGGCTAAGAGCTTCGGACTGCGCGAGGCTCCGGGGGGCATCGGTGGCGGTGTCCAGCGACGTGCTCACAAGCCGAGCACCGGAGCCGGTTCAAAGAGCAGCGAGAAGAGAGGCGGGGACTTTGATGATGCGGTTGGAGGAAACAGCGCGGTTGACGAGGATGCCGCAAGGAGAATGCGTGCGAAGATGAAGACTGTTATGAGCGCTGCGAGCGAGTTCAACATTGGTTGATAGGTCTCTACACTTGGCGTTCATGGCCTAAAAATACAAAAGTTTATGAAGCGACTGTGGCATTATACGGCATGATAATTCTTCTTACCTAGAACCACCAACGCGATGTCGTGACATATACTCAAATTGTAATTGAGGTAGCCTAATGTACGGCGTAACCCGTCTCAAACACATGGTATCTTTCCCAAACTCCTGCCGGTCCTGTACAGAATCGTGACATCGCATTTTCCATCATCATACAAGAGACGTTCTTTTCATTGTCTCCAGCCCCAGTCTCTGACAAAGCGTCTATGTCCATACCCAACCCTCGCCTGTAATCCAAGGCCTACGTTCTCTCCTCCGCCCCAGCCACCCGTCCTCATGGCAGATATACTGAAGACCTTCTCTTTTTGGACTGAGCCGTTCATGCCCCACGTCGCAAGTGTCTCCTCGCGTCGTCTCTTCCGCAACTTGTCCCAGCCCAACTTGAAGCCTGCTGTTACGTGCAGGCCGTCTTTGAAGACGGCTTGGACTTCATCGGCGGTCTGCCACTCGGCACCACGGCCGAGGAAGCCGAAAACATTGCCGTCGACAAGCAGCGCGGCAACACTGGCGATGCTCGTCGGTGGGCGAGGCAGGATGTTTGGTTTGGGGAACGCAATCCAGCCGATGATGGTGAACAAGACCATCGCCGCGAGTAGACTCTGAAGGATGCGAGTCGTAACAAGGTCTTGCACCACCCTCCTACGAGCCCCAACGCCGGTACTCTCAAGTCTCGCTGCGTAGGCAAACTGGGTAGCATCACCAAGAGACCCGCCACTGACGTCCTCGGGAGAGACGTCTTCCTCTGCAGTGCTATTTGTGGTTGGGCGGCGAAGGTTTGTGCTCGTCACTTGTGCACGGATGATGCCGTGCTGCGCTACGATAGCGTCGGCGACGGCTCCTCTTGTTACAATATCATCGAGTCCCAGGTCTTCGAGGGGGATGGCGAATTGTGACTGTACGAGTGATGTGAAGAATTGATCAAGTAGGTGAGGCGTCGAGACGTTGACCATGTTGTTATAATTCCAGGCCTCTTCCATCGCTACGGACGAGGGCCTGTCTGTCGATTCTATAGGCTTTGGCGGTTGCGTCTCGTCAATCAGAAGAGAAGAGCCAAGGAACGTGACCTCGACATCGACGTCTCGTAAGACCTCGTTGCAGGTGAGGGCACTGACAGAGTCCAGTGTCGTGGAATTGGTGTCAGCATTGCTCAGCCGGCCCCAAACATATACATAATGCGCCGTCTGGTTTGTATTCGACGAGGCATTCTTATAAGGCACATAGTCTGCCGCGCCGAAAAAGGCATTGGAGTCGATAAATGTCTTGATCGGTGATTTCGGAGACACTCCATTAGCTCCTCGGGCTGTGCTGATGGTGATACTAGCGTTCGCCGGGTCATCGATGATGGAGATCTCCAACGGGTTGACAGCACCGCCAAAATCAATGGAGGCCTCGAGCGTAAGGTTTACATTGATGAGATTGTCGGGGATAAGCTTGCAGTCCATCCGTGCACGGGTCGCAGGAATGGTCGTGGTAAACTTAATATCACCCGATACGTCAAGACCGTCCTGCAAGCCCGCAACGGATAACGATGGGAACGCCATGTCCTGATATGTGAAAGCCGGGAATGACATGTTCGCATTGAGGATGAGGGATGGTACGACGGTAGAGTTTTGGCCGGTGTTGAAATTCCCCCTAGCGCTCTCATTGGCAGGCAGGAATTGAGAGCTGGCGAAAAAGTCTTGTGAAAGCAGTTGTACTGTGTCGACAACTGGCACATCAACTGTCGAAAAGACAGAGGCGGTAAATATAGACAGAAGTGAGGCGATCAGGAAGGCAGTGGTAGTGCCAATGACCCCGATATTTCGAGTAACTGCGGCCTCGAAAAGGACGACAGGAGTTGTCTTGTCCAGCAGATTGGCATTGACAGATGTCTTGAACGATCCACCCTTAATCATCTGAGCATATGGAGACAGAGCCCGGGTGTTGAAGTCGATGGAAGAGAAGAACACTGCGACGAACGACACAATGACCGCCGGAAGGGATGTCCAGAGCAGGTGACGGTATTTGTCGTCCGGAACACTGCCAAGACCCGTGTTATTTTCAGATATGCGCAAGGTGACCTCTAGTACGGCAATCATTCCCAGCACAACCACGATAGCGACAGTTCGCTGGACAGGGTGGAGGCCGAGAGGATAAGGCCACCTGCTTGTCTGCTCCACGTATTCTGGTGCGGTTTCTATGGACGAGTCTCCCCCGAATACTTTGAAATACCCAACATTAGAGGCGTTTGTATGGTCGTAAGCCTCTACCCCCGTACAATATCGAAATCCCTCAAGGCGATCGCGGATCGTTGTAAGATCCGCCCCGCCTGCACCGCGCAGGGCTTGCAGAAGTGGCTTGCTATGTGCTAGAAGAACAGCACTGTCCATAATCGTGTTTGGATCTCGCGGGAGGAAGCCGGATTTGGGAACCAAGAAGCAAGTGGCAACAGCAAGCAATAAGCATGCAGCCAGGAAGCCTACGACTAGATGCACAGTGAGACTTCGAACCAAGAGCCGTTCCTCGTTGCGAAGAGCTGTCCCACTGACGTCGGTAGGGTTCTGTTCAGTCAAAGATCTGCTGGCAATAAGCGCCGTGTATGTATTGAAGAAATTGTTTCCAAGATCATATAATTTCGCCGGGTCAAAGAAAGTGGATGCGCCGGGCAAGCTGCCGGTTGTCTTGAGCATCATACCTATAGCAAGGCTCATCTTTGCATCGACTCCGACGTATTGAGGCAAGTAGTAGTTGACCGTAGAATCCTGAAACTCCGTCTGCAGTTGACTTTTGTATGAGTCGAAGAACGCTTCTGCTATGTTCCAGGGCGCAACATTGTCAAGCGTCCTATTTCTCGGCGGATCCGAGAGCGAGATATTGAGCATTGCGGTCCCGTTTTTGACTACATCAACTCGGCTAATGTTGTAGGTAGGCCGACAAAGAAGCTGTGTCGAACGTGTAATGCTACCGTTTACAGGCACATTGTCGATGAATGGCTCTTCCGGTACGGAATCCAGGTCGATGTGGACTTGCCCGAAGACTAAGACAATTCGCATGTCTTGCGTATCCGTAGAGTTGTTGCAGCCTCCTTGTCCAAATCGACTGAAATAGATAGTGTCATTACCAGTTGTGCCTGGAGGCCCAAGAAATCCCCCCAGGCTTGTGACAGGCATGGTGACGGCGCAACCCCTTGTGGTGTAGGTAGTATTGAGCTGGTCAAAGCCCCTATGATGCTGCACACCAGTAAATGACATGTCCGCTTCCTCACACTCAAGCCCAGCGAAGAATCCATCGACAGTGGCGTGAACCTCTGTACCTTCGGGGAACTGGGAGGAGATATTGAATGGTTGGTAAGCAAACTGTTGTGATGTGCCGTCGGGAAATGATAAGTTGTCTTGTTGCAGACCAACCATCGTGTACAACGCTAAACTACCTGCATCGGCTAAACCTGAAGCGTTGTTCACGAAATTTCTCTGAAGTGTTAAGTTAACATTTCGGACGGGTACCCTCACAATATCTAGTGCCATGAGGCCAGTTGATAGAATGACGAGAACCTTGAAGATGATCGAGACGGCAGCCGTGAGGGCCACTGTGAAATCTCCGTTCTTCAGTGCCGGGACAATGGACCAGGGTTGAAACATGGAAATGTAGTCCAGCTGTAAGGTATGCTCAGCATTCGCCGGCCCCTTGGACATGCGGATCCATGGAGCAGCAGCCTTGGCTTGGAATTCGACTCGATTCCAGAGTGCTGCAATAGCAGTCAGCGCCAACACTGGCCCATATTGCCAAAGATAATGAGACTTCTGGTCTGCTGTCGCCAGACCTGAGTTTCTGTTGGAAAAGTCCAGCAACGCTTCTAATGCGACCATGAGCCCAGCGAATATGAAGATGAAGGCTATCAGGACCCTGCGCAAGAGGTAGAACGGTCGCCATTGTAATGGAACATTGATGAGGTTTGACGGTTTCTCAGGTAGTAGATCCAGCTCCCTCACTCGCGTCACTGGAATAGATTTGTGATCCCCATCCCATCCCCCAAGTTGCATTATAGCATTCTGCTGAGATGCCGAGTTTGATGGACTCAGAGACACTGTAGATGTGCTGTCGGCCTTGCTATGCGGCGGGGACGGTCGTGGAACGCTGAAGGACATATGGGATCGGGCGGTATATGGTCGCTCGACATGGTCGCTGCCATCTCTTCCCTGTCGCTTCCCTTTCTTCCCTAGCTGTGCGTATTCTTGGTATGACATTTCGCCCTTGGTCGGGTCGGTGTTATAGAGAACACCGGGATAAGTTGATAGTGTATGTCCTCGAGTAGGCACGTCGTCACCTTTCCCACCACATATTCAATTCGACACGATGACTTGTCCTGTGACTGGCGAAAAAAACAGACGAAATAGACACAGTTCGAGAGTTCACAATTAACGATCTTCAATTAGGGTTCGGATGAGGATTTTGAGGATCCGGGAAACGGAGAACAATCCGGGGAAGTCAGAAAAGGCCAGATCCAGACCCAACGCCTAAGACACGATGCTGGAGCCAGCCAGCGAAGCGCATGACAAATGGCAGCGTCTTCGAGAAGGAAGAAATGAGGGCAACCGCCATGAATGATCACCGGAATGCGAGTTCGACCTCGCAGATCATTGCCCGAGGGAGCACCGACCACGTTTATGTTCCCGCTCGATTCCTCGTGGGAAGAGGGCGCCACTGTTCCCCAAGAGTTTCCAAAACTCAGGACGAGCAGAGAGATGCCATGCCCGCTGGGGAACATTCCCGCCGTAGGGCATGTGTGAGGAGGGTTGGAAGTACGCTGTGCGGGTGAGACGCTGTTTCATCATGGGCCGCCGCCCGCAAGGGGGAAGAGGAGGCGCTCTGCGCTTGTCTCGACGTCGTCTCAGCCCCCTGCTTCCCCAATGGCTGTGCCATCAAGACAACCCCCGGCTAAACTTTAATGGACAGCGATTATAAGGCAGAAAAGCGATTGACACGGGAGATGGCACCACACCATTGAAGCCGTACCAGAAAATGAAGCTGTCATAGCACATCAAAGGGCTGGTCTTCAGGCGGTTGTTGGTATGAACGGTCCGTGCACGCGCGCAGATACCAGTTGTAAGGCTTATCGATAGCACTGACGATGTCTCAAATGCCAGACCCAGCACATCTCCGAGTGGTGAAATGGATGCAATTGGCCATAGAAATAGCGTTTTCGATGATGTCCCTCAATTTCAACTTAGGCTGGTTTCTCTGGAAAGCATACGAGATGCCTAGGATATGACGAGATGGCAGTAGAAAACCGCCTGTAACTGGTCTATTATCAATGTTTCCCACGCCTGTCTAAATAACCCTTAGAATTCTCAGTGTGGCCGAATCACAAATTCATTACTCTATTTCTTGCCTGCATCCTCCTTCAGTGACACGATTCTGTTCAGCACGATCTTATCATCTGTGCTATCACAATCCATCGCCTATTTAGGTGTTAGTGTTTGAGTCAATGTGGCTTGGTATGAGCTGTACTCACAAAGTATGCCACTCTCATGGCTTGGAAGCGAACGCTTTCGGGACCACCCTTTCCAAGCTCGCTCTCGCCAGCCGCCTCGGGCCATGGGGCGCGCCTCTTCACCTCGTCGAACCCAGACTCAATAATCGCGTTCGGGTACACCGTCTCACTTTCTGGGTTCAAGTCATTCAAGAAGCCACCATCCACCGCGCTGGGATTGTCGCTCTTGAAAAGGGCATTGTGAACGCGCACCTCGCATCGGCGAGAGCCGGAGCCCTCGCTGCCGACCCACTGAATAAATGTCTTGGGCTTCTTGGTCTCACGGTCGAATACTGCGCGAATTTCCGTGACCTTTCCGGTGGCTTCATCCTTAGTAAAAGACGTTGCCTTGATAGGGAAGGCAGCGTTGAGCAGACCGACAGTCTTGCCAGGGGCGAGTCGGAAGTAATCCTTGCTATCAACTTCTCGGAAATCAGAGCTGTCGATATATAGTGTCTTGGTAAACTTGATTGTGCGGTCGCCCATCTTAGGGTCTTTTGGAGAGAAAGGCACCGATATGTCCGTCCCATCAAGTTCGTCTGCATCTTCTATCACGACAGGGATTGGGTCCAGAACCAGCATCAGCCGAGGTACTGTCCTCTCCAGGTACTTCCTGATGCTCTGCTCGAAGCGCGAAATCTGGATCACGGTGGGTGAAGTAGTAACTCCTAGCTCATTGACAAACTCGAGAATGGCTCCGGGTGGTATGCCTCGTCTCTTGATGGCGATCAGCGTGTAAAGTCTCGGATCGTCCCAGCCTCTCACAATTTTCTTGTCGACAAGGGCCATAATCTTTCGTTTCGACAGAACGGTCCCGCTGAGACTAAGCCTACCATATTCGCGTTGCTGAGGTTCGTAAACTCCAAGAGTCTTGTTGAGCCACTCATAGCTGACACGGCTGAGAATGAACTCGGTAGTGCATAATGAATGTGTAATGCCTTCGAAGGAGTCGCAAAGACAGTGAGTGAAGTCGTAGGTCGGGTAAATCTTCCACTTGTCACCGGTCCGGTGATGCTCTGCATCCAAGACTCGGTATGCTGCCAGATCCCACATTTGAGGGTTTCCATCTGTGATATCCTGCTTCATGCGGAGGAATGCCTCCCTTGGCTTGTATTTTCCATCACGCATATCTCTGAACTTCTGAAGATTCTCCTCCACGCTCTGATCGGCATGCTTGCATCGGTATCGTGGTGACTCGCCCTTCTCGCCTCCTCTTTGGCGCTTGATCTCGGCATCATCGCAATGGCAGACATAGGCCTTGTCAAGCGTGATCAGTTTCTCAGCTAAATCGTACAACCGTTGGAAGTTGTCGCTTGAGTAGGTGATCTTGCAGGGTTTGAAACCAAGCCACTCGACCATGTCCTGGATTGCCGTGAAGTATATCTCCTCTTCTTTCTCGGGGTTTGTGTCGTCATATCGCAATATTGTTTCGCCGCCATGGTATTTAGCAAAACCGAAGTTGACAGCAATTGCCTTCGCGTGACCTATGGAGGTGAAGTTAGCAATGACGAAGAAGCGAGTGTTCGGGAGCTGTTACACACCGATGTGAAGGAAGCCATTAGGCTCTGGAGGGAATCTAGTCATGACTGGCTTCATCGGCCGATTGCTGAAGACTTCATTGAGGAAGCCCTGTTTGAACATAGCCTGGGTATCGATCACAACCTCTTCAACCTTCTCCTTAGGTTTAGGTGCGGCGGCCTTCTTCTCGGCAGCCGGCTTGGTGGCCGCCTCTGCTTTCCTAGCCTCGGTGGCTGCTTTCTTTGCTCGCTTCGCCAGTCGCTTCTTCAGCTCGCCCTTAGAAACCATCTCGCCAGTTTCCTCGTCAAGCTGGAGCTTGGCGGTGCTGGCGGCGACCGCCTCAACGGGGTCCGCCATGCTTTTGGTGGGAGTTGTGATGCTCGAATGGTATCTTTGGTATCTACAAGATGGAATTGAGTCGCTCGCGGTAGATCAAGGCACAGAACGACTACGTTCAGGTTTTATCAAGGGGAAAGGAAGGTGTTGCTCCGGTGAGTCAGTCCAACGGGCTGGAACGGTTTCACTGCCCCTCGAAAATTATTGGCGGGGTGGAGGGGCTGGATGAACCGACTGATAACTCTGTACACACGCGACAAAGAGCCCGATGACTAAGCCTGGCCAGGGAGCTTGGGCCACCTAGCCAGTTTGTTTGGACTCGATTCAAAATGAAGGTCAACCAACGATTATCGCCACTGCAATATGAAGTCTGGGCATAGAAGGTTGTGGCCAAAGATCATATATTGATTCGTCTGCCTCATTATTGCTGACTTTACAAACTCAATCCCAATTGGCAAAATTGTGTCTTTAGGTAAACCTGGAATAACAACCACTTGTATCCTCTAAGAAATCCACTACAGTGCCCCGCCCAGTCGTCGGGGGTGCTGTATTTCTGGAAGCTACAGGGGTCCCCGCTTTCGTCATTGTCCTCCCTCGAGGCTTTCTACACTCAGCCTTCTCATTCTTTGTCCAGCACTCATCTCACAACCCTCTTCCCTTTCCCTTCTATTCTTGGACCTCGCTCATTGATTGATTCCTCAGCGAGCATCTCTCCCTCGCCAATTCCTCACTGCATGTCCTTTCGACAAGCCTTCAAGATGGCCGTCCTCGCCGCCGACGAGCTCCCTACTCTGTCATTACTCTACAAGCTTGGAAAGCTGAAGGCACCCCCTCCCGGCAGGGAAGCTCCCGCCACAATCTCCTACAATAATACGACTCCGACTCCCTCCAAAGCTCTCAACGATCGCGTAAGCGTTTACCGAGGAGATATCACAAAGCTCGAGGTCGATGCCATAGTCAATGCGGCCAACGAGAGCCTACTAGGCGGAGGTGGCGTCGACGGCGCAATCCACAATGCTGCTGGACCAGGACTGCTGGCCGAGTGTCGCAAGCTTAACGGGTGCGACACTGGCTCTGCGAAGATCACTGGCGCATACAATCTGCCCTGCAAGAAGGTCATCCATGCCGTTGGCCCCGTCTACAACTTCATGAAGCCGAAGAAGAGCGCGGAGTTGCTGACTGGCTGCTATACCACAAGCCTGGAGCTAGCTGTGGCGAACGGGTTGAAGACAATTGCGTTCAGCGCCCTCAGCACGGGTATCTACGGCTATCCAAGCTCGGATGCAGCGCCAGTGGCGATCAGCGCTGTGAAGAAGTTCCTAGAGAGCGATGACACTCTTGAGAAGGTGGTGTTTGTCACCTTTGTTCAGAAGGACGTCGATGCTTACGATCGCTTCTTACCGTGAGCTTACCCTTCTCTCCCCGGACTACCAGACTCAATTGCTCACTTGATTATAGGCTTTACTTCCCTCCCGTGCCCGAGGCATCACAGCCAGCCCCTACCGATCCCGAGTCAACGACAGGTGGTGCTGACGAGGCGGCCCAAGAAGCGGAGGCTGAGAAAGTGGCAAGCAAGCTACCCGATGTCCCTAAGGCAGACCCAGACTCCGAGCATGCAGACAAAAAGCAGAAACACGACACCTGATCATGATGGTGGTTTGGGGAGTCTCGATTTTTAAAGCATGGAGTTCAGTGGCAGGCATTGGAGTTCTGGACAGGAAGGTATGCCTCAACGATAGGCAAAGCACCGAAACATGAAAGTTTATGATCTTCACAAACCGAGACCTTCTGACAGCATACCGTCTTTTCTCGAAACCCCGTAATCTAGTAGCTGTCAAATTGCTTTACAAAAGAACGCAAGAATATTCGCATGTTGCACAATACGCCAATAGAAACAAGTAAAAGGAAAACAGCAGAACTCCTAAATGAGCACGGTGAATGATATCCTTGGTCAAAGCCCTCAGCTCTCCTACACTGGGTGCGGAAACCGTTCTGGACTCGGCTCTGGGGACTTTGATGCAGCCCTCTGCTGCTCCTCCCTGTACGTCTGATAGGTCACGGGAACACCGTGCTGGAACTGATTCTGCAGCGCCTGCCCACCAAACATGACATCGGCAAGCAACTGTGCGTCTCTCTCCAGCTGCACGTCTTCAGTAGTTGTCTCTCTCGTGGCGTAAGGATGCGGGAATGGAGCGAACATGGCAGGCGTGTTCCCACCAATGGGCTGGGAGGGCTGCCACGCCTGGTTGGTGCTGGTGAATAGACCTTGCTGCGGTGCACCAGCGTTGAATCCTCCTGGCAAACCCGAAAACTGGCCAAAGCCTGCTTGGGTGGAGAAAGGAACTGTTGCCCTTTGATTCCACTGCGATGGGGTTGGTGTTCGTGGAAACTCGGAGAACTTGACACGCTTCGGTGCTATGTGGCAGTTAGCGGCATGTCTCGCCATAACATAATGCAAATGAACGGAAAGGCTTACGTTGTTCAGTCTCTGGTTGCGGTTGCTGTCCAGTAGCTGGGGCTTGTGTTTGTGCCTTGCCCTCTTTTTTGGCGTCTTTCAGGATCTTGGACACATCAAAGATATTAGTCCCCAGCTTCGTTGGCCCATGCTCGTCCTGGTTAATGATTTTCTTCAGAGACTTGCCCTGCGACTTGAGCACTGTCTTGAGCTTCTTGATGGATTTTTCGACATCCTTCTTCAGCTCTTTCGCCTCGAATCCTGCCGTGTCCGAGTTAAACTCGTCCCGCTTCTGGATGATCCTGTACCACATCTCGATCACCTCTTTCAGAACTGGCTCCGTGATGAGTGTCATTTCGCGAATTGCCATGTTTCTGAGCATCTCTGACTTCTTCTTCTTCCTCGAGGGTATGACGCCTACAAAAGCGGGGAGAGTTATGTCGGCATGAATATACTTGGGGTCGAGGAACTCTAAGGCGTGTAGTATGTGATTTTGATCCATCTGGAAGAGCCCTCGGAGCTTCTGAAGCTCCTCTATAATCCTTGGCGGCCACGGGCTATTGAAATGCAGGAGATCAGTAACGTGTTGTTCCAAGGGGCTCAAGATCCCGATACATCCCGTGGTCAACTTCATATGTACTGCACTCATCCGACCTGCAAGCCGTCCTCCAAACGCGTTCCAGATTGCAAGGCGTGAGTGAGGACGACCCCTGAGATAGTCGTATATCAGGTTCTGTAGGTAAGTAATCTCCGCCGTCAGACAACGATGGATTTCTCCAATGTCCTGATAGAGCAAGGCGAAGTATTGGAATAATTCCCACATGCGCTGTTCAATAAAAGAATCCATGGTAGGCTCGACATTGCCCACGTCTTGGCCGCTGGCTTGCGCTGCTCTCCATTGCTGCCTTTCTTGTTCGAACTCGTTGTTGATCACGACCTGGGAAGTGCGCAGGAATGCCAGCCTTGAGTTAATCTCTGGGCCGTCACGTTGCACTGCTTTCACTAGGTGGTTGAACTGCGTATCCGTCTCGTCCCATGTCAACTGTTCAAAAGTCCAGACTCTCTTGGTACTTGTTTCGTCGAGGCCTTCCCAACTCAACGCCTTCAGGTAGTCCGCAATCACGTTATGGCCGGCTTCCCGAAGACTTACATTGGCAATCGCAATCCAGTCGGCGACATTCTGGCTGCCGTAGAGAGCCCCTTTCTCAACGTAACTCGGAAATTGGCTGTACGCTCTCGCCAGGTTGGGCTGCTGGGGGGAGAACTTGAAAGACTGCCAACCGTACTTTACAGCATCGCATGACCAGAATTCGTTGCTGAAGAAGCGAGCGCAAAGCTCCACAGGAAGAACCTCTTCCATAGTCATGGCATGAGCCGATGGGTAGTTGAGGAAGTCCGCACTGCCTTGTAGCTCTGATGGATGAGGATTCGGGGCCGCTTGTGGCCATCGTGACTTGATACCCGCGACAGTCTGCCAATGCAATCCCTTGAATCTGACCAGGGGAAGCGTCTCAAGGACACCACCGAAGAGCTATGGTTCAAATATTAGTGACGTTTCGCCGGATAGCTAAGAGGTGTCGAGATGTAGATCCCGAAGCATACCCTGTTTTCAAACGCAAATCCCATCTCGGCCTGTTCCTCATTCTCAAAAAAGCACTCATCGTTTTTACCTGATCGATCAAGAAGCTTGTCGCCCAGGCTCTCAAGATTTTGGAAGACTTCTTGACTAAAGTTTCCGAACTGAGAATCGATCCCCACCCAAACTTTATCCTTCTGGAACTGCGCCGCATGTGCATAATGCGCGGCGTGCTATTATATCAAGATCAAACTTTAGCACGGGCTCGATGATATGTGATGTGAGGAGGATCACAAGCAAGATATGCGGCTGAAAAGCAAGTGACGCAGCAGGATTATACTTACAGCAAGCTCATGGAGCATAGTTGCGGCCACAAGGAAAGAGCAGACCGCTTTCTCTCCTAGGGTGTAAGACCGTACAAGAAGTGGGAAAAGGAGCTCGAGGCCGATCTGGATCCGAATTGGCGGATCTCCCGGTTTTTCGAACGTCGTCGAGCCATAACTTCCCGTTGATACCTTGTCCTGACCTGTAATACGGTAAACACTGCCAAACTCCCACTCAATTTTGTTCAGCAAGACTTTAGATGTGACCTCCATTGAAGGAAAGTTCAGATCACGCAGTCTCCTTGTCTCATCCCACATGAAGGCAGGATCCACGGCCAATCTCAGATTATCTCGAATAGGCACTCGGGTCTTCTCATGTGGGTCACGCAAGTCTCTGGCGTAATGGACGGGACACCGAGCATATAAATTGAGCAATGCTTGCCAATAGGGGTGATTCGAATTCAAGATTCGAGTGACCATCTGAAGAGTTGGTTGCAATGCGGCCCATATGATGTCGTCCCACTACAAAACTCATACTGTCAGAATCACTGTTTTCCAAAAGCTTTGTCGTTTGGTTTGGAACTTACAGCAGTATATTCACCGCGGTATCCGTTAATATTGAACAATTGTCGTGGACTAGTCTCTGCCCCGCCTAAATGGTCGGTCTTCAACCATTTGTTGCGAGCCACAAGCCTATATCGTTAGTTTCTGTATGTCTCTGGCAACAGACTTGATCACTTACGGATGTAGAGGTCCTTGTAGGTTACTGTCAGGGACTACCAAGTTGGCGGGATCATAGGCCTTTCGCTCCACGAACTAATATGATTGTTAGTTCAAAGTATTTTCGAAGATGACAAGCCTCATCAACTCACATCATCAGTCGTAAAGCCGTCAAATAGATAACGTTGATAGTCCTGGTTCTCCGAGATCACGTCATATAGCTTCAACCAAGCTTGACCTTTTTCCTCTGCACTCAAGTTGTCTCTCGCATTGGCTTGAGTTTCGAGATAGTCTCGCAATGACATTCCCTGGGGATGGGCATCATCCACAACTGTAGATTTCAAGAATTCACTGGCCGACTTCAGACCCTCACCCGGCATTTCAACCGTTGTACCAATTGCAACAGTTGGTGTCACCCAAGACCTGCCGGCTGTTCCATCAGGGTGCATCCCCCATCTCAAGGCGTGCATCGTCGGATTTTTCATCTGGTCTTGCAAAAGAAGTGCAGGTCGGAGGACTTGGGTAATATCTCGCTTGAACCTCTTTCTCATCTGGCCACTATCGTGCCATACCTCGTAGTCTGGGTTGTATTCTGGATCAGTCCACTCCGGGAAGTATTCGATATACTCCCATTCGCCTTGACCTTTACGAACTTTCTTGGCGTTATTGGCTGGTCTTTTCAAAGCCACGCTCAATGGCTCCGGCTCACTGAGATCATCTATCTCGGTCCTTTTCACCAACCAGCTCCAGATGGTTGAAGAGTTGAAAATACCGGCTGATCCAGAAGAGCTCATGGACGTGTCCGAGTCACTGTCGCTGTCACTCCCTGAGGGTGGATCGACGGGCGGGTTCTGGGTGCCGCCCAAATTCCCTGTTTGACTTGAGCTTGCCATGGTTTCGATATGTCTGCAAGTTGCAACAGGGCCTTGGTTGTTGTATCTGGGGACGAGACTTCGGGGACGAGACTTCCAGTTAGCTCGAATTTACTCGCTGTCAAGACTCGTAATCCGAGACGATGCCCTCGACATGTTCTACATTTTGTTGCAGGGGCCTCAAAGATCCTGGGAGATTGGTCTACAACAAAGGCTCGGTGAGGTTAATCGCCTTCCGGCGTGGAGCACCAGCCCAGAGAATTCATACTGCCGTTTGCGGGATGCAAGCTGTTCGAAACACCATAATGCACAAAGAAGACGCTGCGGCTGCTCATGAAAGCCAAACATGTTGATTTTTGCCTTGTCTTACTTATTGGTTCCGAGTCATTTCAATTGGGGAGTCTTGCAAGACCAATTCTCTTTGTTCATCCTGCGATAAAGTTTTGGTGGTAAGCTAAATCAGATGATTTTTCTATGAACAAAGACCGCTTCGCCAAACACGGAATTCGATAACGATTAGCCGCATCTTGAACGATTTCCATCTCAATGCAGGGACTTGTGCATTTCATCGTATAGAATCATTCAAGCCCTCCGAGCATGTTCAGTGTCGAGGTCGAACTCACTCAAAGCCTAAAACTAAAATACTACTGCACTTAGACTTGTGGGGGACCGTTCTGCGCCACCGCCGCGGCCGCGCTTTTAGCGGAATGAATCCCCTCGTTGCCGAAAACCGTTGATCCTTGAGCCTAGACCACAGGCGATTGTTAAGAGAGCGGCCGCCGGTGAAGCAGCCGTTTTGCACCGGACCTTCTACTCTCGGCACCCGAGCCACAACGGTTTACTCTGCCCACAGGCACCAAGTGGCACGCGATCGAGACGGCAGGTGTTCTAATGCATTAAATATTGGGTTCTCATGCGTTTTGTAGGTCATGAAGCGATGCCTAGCAGATCTACTTAGACGGAGATTGGAAGGTGGCCAAGATCCCTGGTGATAGTGCCGATACACCCCAGCCTGTTCCGTGGCCAGCCCCCGGTGATTGCGATTTGGTATCAGAAGCCAATCGGTAATGTCACCGACCACGATGGTGGTTGAGAAGGACGGTGTGGTAATTTCGGAGGCGTAACGGCGAGCCACCCCACTAACCCGGTAACAGTAAGTCGCAAAGCAGCCAAGGAGCTTCCTACGGCTTCTCACTCACAAGCTTTCGTGGCGCGTGGAAGCGAACGCAGCAAAGCAGCTTGGCTTCGAGAAATACGGGACACCGTTTCCACGTAACCAAGAGGCAGAACACTTTGATTGCGGACTGTAGGGTAGACTCAGCTTCCTGCTGCATCGATCGTCTTGTGAGAACCCGGAAGCTCAGCTCCATAGCTGGCTTGGCATCTAGGGAGTCCCAGCTAGCCGTATCATCCAACTGGTCGCGCTCGAGCCCTTCCAGATTGTTGGATCTTCCACTTTCCTCTTCCAGCAGGTCAATGTGGAGATCAAAATGTTGCGTCCCTCACTGCTCTGGTTCCCCACCAGGGGACATCCTTCTGTACGAATGCCAAGCTTCCATCTGCAAGGCAGCTGGCCAGGCACCACGGGGATATCCAGGTCTTGTGCGTGATGCGCGCATTGTTTGGCTGATCAAGGTGGTAGTCGATATGGAAACATGCGAGCTCGCCAGGGGAACTTGCAGGAGGAATAAATACTGCCATGCTTGCCCAGCCTCGGTGACGTCCCAGGAGTTTGGGAGCTTCACGCGTCTACTGCTCTCTTCACAAGCTTCAGACACGCCTGCTGTGAGCTCTGAGAAGACCGAGTACGGCATTCGAGCATCACGATGAGAGCCAAAATCATTGCCGGTACAGCCCTGCTGGCTGCAACGGTCAATGCCGAGTGCGCCGCCGACAATTGTCTCCGTGCTTTACGGGCGACACAAACACCCGGTCGACTTGCTGCTGCTCAGTCCTTCTGCGCAACCTTCACTGCCACCAGTGTCGCTCCTACGGCGATACCGACGTTTGCCTCAAATGCCTGCAAGGAGAACCAGAATGGAGACATGTTCTTCCGTCTCTCTAGTGCTTGCTCATGCATTGCCCCCTCAACGACATCATCGGCGTCTGTGACAGCCACGGCTTCTCCCACAGAGCCCTGTGCCATTGTCAGCAACTCATGGGCTGCTCAGCAGGCTGCTAATCCTTCGGGTCAGTAATACTCCAATTGGTAGAAGCCGAGCCTTAGGAACAGGGTGAATTAACAAGCAACAATATAGCTACCCCCACGGTTGCTGCCAAGCTTGCCCGCGACTGTCTAGCCTCCGTTCCACTAGGCAAGGAGGCTGCTATTGAGCTCGTCGATGCTATGGTGCCGTATCTTGAGTGGCAAACCGATGCTGCTTATAAGGCGGATCCTCCTGCGGATTATTTCTACCCTGGCTATGACCTGTTTGCGGAGCTTGCCAAGATCAGAACCAACCTCGTCAACGATGTGTATGATAGCGAGTATGCTTTCCAGCTTGCCATGTACAAGGATGTCTTTGGCCCTGGACATGACGGTCATTATGTCTACTACTCGGACCTCCTGACCGCTGTCTTTGACAATAATCGTCGTCGCTCGTTGGTCTCTCTCAGCGAGGATGGATCCTCACTACCAGTGATCAAACTCTATGGTATGTTGTCAGCCCCCCAACTTCTCATCGATCAAATACTAACCGTCTTCAGAGGATGTCATTGCTTCTCCAGAGACTGCTTCCGCTGTTGTGCTGATCAATGGTGTGGATGCTGCTACCTATGTCGCTGATACCATCTTCACGGCGGGCTTCAATCAGGATGCTGATTCGGCTTACAACACCATGTTCTATGAGATGGCCTTCCCCCCATCAGGTACCGGCAATGGGTATTTTAGCAGCGGCGGCCGTATTCGGTGAGCTGGAAATTGGGCCCTTGAGGAGATATTCGGCTAATGGACTTCTTCCAGATACATTTATGATGTGTATGGCCCAGAGACCACCTTCACCTTTGCAAACGGAACAGAGGCCACCTTCGAGAACTATGCCCGCATCAAGACCTCCCTGTCTGGTGTCACCGATGGTCCTTCATTCTACCAGAAGTTCTGTACCGGAGCCACCACCGACGAGGTTGTTGCCAGTGCGGGCAAGGTTGCAGTGGACGGCGATTCCGGCATCACAGTCCCGGGCTATCCTACCCCAGTTGTCATCACTGAGGACGGTGTCGTGTCATGCTATTTCCTTGATGGCGAGGGTTTCGAAGATGTCGCTGTCATTGCCCTTCTGGCCTTCGAGAACGAATCGCCAGCCGAGTTCCAGGAGGTCTGCCAGCAGTGCTTCGCCAAAGCTGTTGAGGCAGGCAAGACCAAGCTCGTGGTCGACTTCCAAGCCAACGGCGGCGGCTATATTCTCCAAGGCTATGACTTCTTCCGTCAGCTGTTCCCACACGTTGTCCAGGACGGCTTCTCTCGCTGGAAGGAGAACGGTGGCTTCATGGCCATCTCGGAGATCGTTTCGGACCTGGTCGCCGACGTCAACCCTTACACGAGCGACGACTACGACCTCATCGGCTTCTATGAGTCGTGGTTCAACTACCGCTACGACTTGAACATCTCGGACCTCCCCTTCCAGACGTTTGAGGACAAGTTCGCGCCGCACGTGTACAAGCACACCAATTACACGGCGATCATGCGGTGGAACCTAAACGACAACCTGACAACCACCAACGAGACTTTCGGCATGGGCATGGAGATTGCGGGCTACGGCTCGCTCTCCGACATTGCGCAGCCGTTCGAGGCCGAGAACATCATCATGTTGTACGACGGCATGTGCGCGTCAACTTGTACACTCGCCTCCGAGATGTTGCGCATCCAGGGCGGCGTGAAGAGCATCGCTATGGGCGGTCGACCGAAGCAGGGACCCATCCAGGGCGTCGGTGGCGTCAAGGGCGCGCAGGTCCTGAACTGGAGCAACATCTTCAGCTATGCGCAGTGGGCGCTGCAGTTCGCGACCACGGACGCGCAGAAGGACGCGCTCAGCGCCTACACCGACCTACCGCTGCGTCGCAGCACGGCGGCCGCGGTCAACACCCGCGACCAGATCCTGCGCGACAATGTCAACGATGGCCTGCCTGCTCAGTTCGTCGCTGAGGAAGCCGACTGCCGCCTGTACTGGACGGCGCCCATGGTGACGGACGTGACCGAGGTGTGGAAGGCTGCTGCCGACGCGGCGTTCAACGGCGCCAAGTGCGCTGCCGGCGGTATCGAGAAGCGCGACGTCAGCGAGAAGGCGGAGGCTCGTCGCCGCAACTACCTGTCGCCTGCTGGTGTTGAGGAGCGAAGCAAGCTGGTGGCCAAGAGGAATCTGGCACCGCGTGAGGCGGCTACCTTCAACGCGAAGAACTTGCAGAAGGCCATCCCCTAAGTATGCACTAAGGCAAACAAAAACACAGCTTTATACATAGCTGTGATAGAAATATTTAATCTTACAACGGCCCCCAAGTCTTGGTTGAGTGGAGTTTCCTCGCAGACGTTGCCTTAGATAGCCTATTGCCGTCATCTGTAATTGGTCGCCAAGTCGCAGCATTGATGCTTGACACTGCAACTTACAACTCGAAAGTCCCTGGCTCTGAGCATTTAAGTATTGTATGGAAGGGAGACAGATGCGTAATGCTTGACTCCATGGTCTGGATGTTGTAGCATCGAGTTTGCTGGTCATGAGCAGTCGAGAATTTCTCACAGACGGGAGGTAAAAAGTCGAGCTCGAGCCAATCTCAAACGACTGATTGATGACTGATCATCTCAGTCGCACCTACCTTCCTCGGTAATAAGTTAGAACGAGATATTATGATGTTGAGATCACTAAACTGGCTCTAGACCCAAGATCGTTCCAACTTAGGCAAGTGCCATCCTTTCACTTCACAAAGGCTTCTGAGAACAGATAAACAGGCTGGTGTATTATCATGTTTTAGACATACGGCTTAGTGCAATATGAATTTACCTAGGTAGGTAGATAGTTTACCTTGTGAATTGGATATTATCTCCTTCTAGATTTGCACTGCAAGACCCGGATGTGGCCGCTGTTCAGGGGAGTCACGTGACAGCAATCTGAAGAGAGCCGCTGCTGAGGGATGGCAAGCCAATCTAACTATCCGCTTCCTGAAAAGAACATGGGGACCCCAAGATCATTTCATCAAAATTGGCGGGGTCTATCGCCATGCCTGAGTCTCCCCCGGGTTTGCCTAGGGGCTTTTGGGGTGATGGCAGTGGAGATGCGGTCAGTGCTTTTCTTCTTTGCCGTGGGAGTCATGGCCTGGCCTGGCTCGCCTGGATGGCCATATCACGAACACGGTAGGCAAGATGCTGACTAGCGCTAGAGGGAAAGTATTGATAGCACCAAGGGGGCGCACAGCCGCTAAGATTAGAAAGGCGGTGACGCCGCGAGGGTTGGGGATTGGTGGGAATCACGGTCGGCACACTGCATTGGTGCGGGAGGACAAAGAAAGGAGCCCCGGTGTCAGATCCATGGTGCCGTGTCGTTGGAGTGCCGAGCTGATAGCGACTCGTATCTTGAATCGAGGATCCAGGCTGGCTCTGGCCGCTTATAAGATTCGTTGGGGACAAAGTGTTGCGCGGAGCGACTCTACTATGCAGTAGGCCAGAGCAGTGGAGATCAAGAATACGGGGCTAGAGAAGGACGGGTGCGGATAGACGGCGTGACAGGCAGCGGAGGTGAAAAGAAATATGGAGGCTTTGGAAGCGTGAGTCCAGCTGGCTTTTGGGGCTCGATTCGGGAAGCCCGTGGCGAAGATGGACGATCCGAGTGGTCCCGGGCGGCGCTCTAGAGCGAGCCTGACCGTCTCCAGGAGATCAATGAACCAGGAGAACGCGATTAATTCGATGCTACCTGATACGTGCAAGAGACGCCAAATAGGAGCCGGGCAATTTGTCTTCCACTCAAAAGGCAACAGGCTTGACTGGGTGTCTGGGCAGGACAGCCTTTAATTATGCGTGGCGAAGCAGAGGCTTTGCCCGGCACATTCTAGGGGCTACAGATTGACACTAATTCATTGACATGGTCCTTTTGATTCCCTGTCTCGAGCCTGGCTCATCCCAGCTCTTCAGATGTACGGAATTTAGGGCTTATCGGCTGGCTGTTATCGAGCAAGGGGTGGGCTGTTGGGTATCTCGTTGGCAGAACAGTCTTCCCAAAAAAAAAGAGTTGGACATTGCCAGGTACCCCGCGATGGTTGGAAGGGAGACCGTCTCGGGCAGGTTGCATGTGAGATTACCAAACTACAGACAGCGCCACCAACACCATCGAGTGTTTTCCTGTGAGACAAGATGAGAGATTGCCCTTCTTTCTGACGTCAAGAGATGATGTTTCCCCAGAATATTTGGATAAGAAGCCCGTCTATCTGAAGAAGGCGAGGAAAGACCGGATGGAAAGAGCGCGTTGCCTCGGGCAAACAGAAGTTGTAGGGACTGGCGGGGGACTTTCGAGTTTCGTAAATTTATTTATTTTTTTTTGCATGAAATCTGGCTCACCGCCCTCTGGCCGAGCCATATCGGGCCTAGCGCGGACACCGATAAAGCGATAAGCAGGGATGACTGAGTCGTTGGTGGGGGATAAGGACCAATCAGTGGCGGGGTTATCGAATCTCACCCCCCTTAGGGTCTCCTAGACCCCAAAAGAGCCCTCTTTTGCCGCTGGTTACTTGGTCAGGTACTTGGGAGAAGGCAGGCGGCCACTGTGTCCAGTCGAGCCAGTCTCCAGAAAAAAATCTTTCGGAGACGCCATACAAATCCTTACTATGTAGGTCCAGGTACCTAACCTACGGCTAAGGTACGGGAAGACGAACGGAGGCGCTGCCACAGCAATAATCTGCCGCTACCCTCCTGTTGAGGGAACCCTTTTTAAGCAAGTGCATCCTCCATTCTTATCCTCCCTGCCTGGCCCTCTTCTTTTTTTTTTTGATCTTTCTCTCCTTCAACCTCCACTCCCTCCCTTAATTTTCCATTTCCCTCGTCCGTTCCTCGTCGCAGGACAGACTTCTCCTCTCAGCTCAGTCTTTACATTTGACTTTGCATCTTCAGTTTCTCGTTGAGACTTCCTCCTCCAAGAGAAGCCTCTCCAAGAAATTCCAGACCCAGACCCAGACCTAGACGAGCCAGCATAGAGCAGAGAAAAACTCGACTCTCCATCGACTTTTCCTCTGCGGGTTCTTCTCGAGCGCCTTTTCGATACCCTCCCCCGAATAGACTGCGCAAGACCGATAGACAAGCGATTTCGTCGACCGATTCGCCTTTCTTAGAAAGATAAGAGATTTGGGCTTAGACTTGCGGTTTTAGACCCCCTCAGGAAAAAAAATCTCCACCGAATTCTTCCTCGCCGAATAATTCACCACACACACCAAAATGCCTGCCGTCACCAGCCCTGCTGCCCAGGCGGAGAACGCCAAGAGCCTGAAGGTGCTCGATGAGCTTATGCAGAAGCTCACCATCTCCAAGGAGGCCGACGCCGTCAAGGAGTCTGCCGCCGCTCTGGCTTCCTTCATCAACGGCCCCATTGAGGACCTCGATGTGCCCATCAAGTAAGTACCACAGATATGCCTCTCTCTCCCGCTGTAGGACCCAAGACCAGTGCCAGCACCAGCACCAGCATCGCACCCGCATCGCACCTGCGGCGCCAGAGCCCGAAAATTGCCCATCCCCACCTCCTGCCATTTTCACGCCCATTACCCCTCTCTAACCATTTTCTGCCCACCGCCATATGCCCCTCGCCGCATTTGCACACAAATTTTTGTGGCAATCGTCGGGTGGCAATTGGACGGCCGACCCGCCTTTCTCGCTGCGGCGCTCGGTTCGCTGTAGCTGGGTTGCTGGTTTACTGGTCTAGTGGCTGTCTTTTGTGCACACCGAAAAATGAAAATTAGAGAGAATTCCTAGTTGGCTAATGCTTGTAGCAGGACTATTGAGGCCATCAAGAAGCAGCTCGCCAACAAGAAGGATGCGTCTGTCCGTGAGAAGGGCTTGAACGCCGTCCAGGCGATCGCCCAGCACTCCGAGATTGCTCCCAATGTCGAGCCCTTCCTGGTTGTCCTCCTCCCCAATGTTCTTGCCGCTGCTGGTGACAAGATCACTTCTGTCAAGAATGCCGCCATTGCGGCTGCTCTGGCCATCGCCGAGGCCATCAACCCCAATGCCGCCAAGTCCACGCTGCCGGCTCTGATCCACTCTCTGCGCAACGCCCAGAAGTGGCCGGAGAAGATGACCGTGCTTGACTTTATCGACACCCTCATCCGCACTGCTCCCGCCCAGCTTGCTTTCCGCGTCCCCGACTTGATCCCCGTCGTCTCTGAGGCCATGTGGGACACCAAGAAGGAGGTCAAGGACCGCGCCTACAAGACCATGGAGAAGCTCTGCGAGCTCATCGTCAACAGGGATATCGAGCGCTTCATTCCTGAGGTCATCAAGTGTATCGCCAAGCCTGAGAACGTCCCCGAGACCGTTCACTTGCTCGGTGCCACCACTTTCGTCACCGAGGTGCAGGAGCCTACTCTGGCCCTCATGGTCCCTCTTCTGGATCGTGGTCTGGCTGAGCGTGATACCGCCATCAAGCGTAAGGCCGCTGTCATCGTTGACAACATGTGCAAGCTCGTCGACGACCCGAACATTGTCGCTCCTTTCTTGCCCAAGATGATGCCCGGTCTCCAGAAGAACTACGATAACCTGGCTGATCCCGAGGCTCGAGAGAAGACCAAGCAGGCTCTCGACACCCTGACTCGCGTCGGCAATGTCGTTGATGGCAAGATTCCCGAGGCCCGCAACGACAGCGACCTTGCTGTCGTTCTCGGCAAGCTCAAGGAGGCTCTGTCTCCTAAGTTCCCTCACGTCACTGGTGACAAGTTCAACCCCGTTCTGGAGTACATCTCCGCCATCGCTGGTCAGCTCGTTGACGAGAAGGAGACTGAGCCCACCACTTGGTACGAGAACCTGAAGACCTTCACCTCCGTTATTGTTGGTGATGAGAACTCCGAGGCTCTCGTTGAGACCCTCCGAAAGAAGGCTTCTCCCGGCCTCGCTGAGGAGGAGGAGGTCGAAGCCGACGAGGAGGAGGGTGAGGATCTCTGCAACTGCACATTCTCCCTCGCCTACGGTGCCAAGATTCTGCTCAACCAGACCCATCTCCGCCTGAAGCGTGGTCAGCGTTATGGTCTTTGCGGTCCCAATGGATCTGGAAAGTCCACTCTCATGCGCGCCATCAACAATGAGCAGGTTGAGGGTTTCCCCAAGCAGAGCGAGGTCAAGACTGTCTTCGTTGAGCACGACCTTGACTCCGCTGACACTGAGATGACCACCATTGACTGGACCATGAAGAAGCTTGCCGAAGCTGGTGTCGATGTCTCCAAGGAGGAGGTCGAGAGACGCCTGGAGGAGTTCGGCTTCACTCCTAGCATGATTTCTGGCGAGATCTCCGCTCTGTCTGGTGGTTGGAAGATGAAGCTGGCTCTGTGCCGTGCCGTCTTCGAGGCTCCCGATATCCTGCTCCTTGACGAGCCTACCAACCATTTGGACGTGAAGAACGTGAAGTGGCTCGAGGATTACCTCATCAACTCTCCCTGCACATCTATCATCGTCTCTCACGACAGCGGCTTCCTTGACAACGTCTGCCAGCACATTGTCCACTACGAGCGCTTCAAGCTCAAGCGCTACAGGGGTAACCTCAAGGAGTTCGTCAAGCGCGTCCCAGCTGCCAAGTCCTACTATGAGCTTGGTGCGTCTGAGATGGAGTTCTCCTTCCCTGAGCCCGGTTTCCTGGAGGGTGTCAAGACCAAGGCTAAGGCCATCCTGCGTGCTAGCAAGATGAGCTTCCAGTATCCTGGTACCTCCAAGCCGCAGATCGCCGACATCACCTTCCAGTGCTCTCTCGGTTCCCGTATTGCCGTCATTGGTCCCAACGGTGCCGGCAAGTCTACCCTCATCAATGTTCTGACTGGTGAGCTGGTTCCCACCGCTGGTGAGATCTACCAGCATGAGAATATCCGTATTGCTTACATCAAGCAACACGCTTTCGCTCACATCGATAACCACTTGGACAAGACCCCATCCGAGTACATCCAGTGGCGTTTCCAGACTGGTGAGGATCGTGAGACCATGGACCGTGCCAACAAGATCATCACCGAGGAGGATGAGAAGGCCATGGACAAGATCTTCCGTGTTGAGGGCTCTCAGCGTCGCGTCATTGGCATCAACAGCCGAAGAAAGTTCAAGAACTCTTACGAGTACGAGTGCTCTTTCGCTCTTGGTGAGAACATTGGCATGAAGAACGAGCGCTGGATTCCCATGATGACTGCCGACAACGCCTGGCTGCCCCGTTCCGAGCTTCTGGCTTCTCATCAGAAGATGGTTGCCGATGTTGATATGAAGGAGGCTCTTGCCTCTGGTCAGTTCCGTCCTCTAGTCCGAAAGGAGATTGAGTCCCACTGCGCCAACTTCGGTCTTGACGCTGAGCTGGTTTCTCACTCTCGTATGCGTGGTCTGTCCGGTGGTCAGCGTGTCAAGGTCGTCCTTGCTGCCTGCTCTTGGCAGCGACCTCACTTGATCGTTCTTGACGAGCCTACCAACTATCTCGACCGTGACTCTCTCGGTGCTCTGTCCAAGGCGCTGAAGAAATTCGAGGGTGGTGTCATCATCATTACTCACTCTGCCGAGTTCACCAAGGACTTGACTGAGGAAGTCTGGGCTGTCCTCGACGGCAAGATGACTCCTTCCGGACACAACTGGGTGCAGGGCCAGGGTTCTGGTCCCAGGCTCAAGGCCGACGATGATGACGAGGAGGACAAGTTTGATGCCATGGGCAACAAAATTGTCACCACCAAGAAGAAGGCCAAACTGACCTCTTCCGAGGCCCGTAAGAAGAAGAAGGGTATGCTTCCACTCCCATTGACATCTATAATTGACACAATGCTAACTACAATTCTGCAGAGCGTATGGCCCGCCGCAAGCGTGGTGAGGAGGTGTTCTCTGACGAGGACGAGTAAACCTTCCACACCAAGTCGTTTCCCTTTATGCTCGGCGATCATGATCATGCACAAAAGTTGCTCCTCAACGATTTTACGGTTTTTTTGCACGGTCTCGGCGTTTTTAAATCTGTGTTCCTTTGTTTATTCCGCACCCAAACGCCCATGTTCTCGGCGCGGCCTTAATTCCCTATCTACGTTTTTGTTGTTGAATCTCCAACCTAGCACCCGGCCAGAGAGATAGACAAAAGAGATGCATTTGCCTTTTCAACCTGAGGATTTGGAGGCCCTCAGGCGGAGAAGATAGGGATCTGATTTTGTTTGTTGAGGAGATGGCTGGAAATGGAACGGAGACCGTGATACATACAGATCATCATTGACGGAATCACACCGATATTAAGATAGCGAAATCTTTGGTATGATAAAGAGAGGGCCGATAGACTTGACAATAGAATCAAGCATTCGTTGATAGACAATCACATGTGTTCTTACTCTTGATATGATGTGACATGCAGTGATCGTATAACTACTGATGCTTTAAACCACATGAAGTAAAAGCCTACTCGATTTACGCGTACTACATGCGGATAGCATGCATAGAGTTGGCCATCTGCTAACGAGTTACGATCTACCTGCAGGGAGCAGATCTACAACGGTGCTTGGGAAGCAACCGATCTCCATCTATCAGCCTTAGAATGGAGCGCACTGGTTTCAGTTGTGCCCCAGCATATTCGAGTGTTGTTGCGACTGGGATGCCGACGCAGTGCGGCCCGCGATGGGGATGGTGGTTGGCCCCCTTCCTCTCTTAGACATGACGTCTGAGTCCTGACGTCATCCGAGCTTGGGGCTCCGAAGCTTACGGCGACACTCGAGATTCGTTCAACATCGCACAGTTTAACATAGTTTGATTGAAGGCTCTAAGATAAGATCGTTCGAGCTTGAAGGATTATCAAATCAAAGCAAGGATTGAAAGAAATTCACAATGGCAAGCAACGAGAGCAACACCCAGCAGGAGCAGCCTGGCCTCATTACCGGCCACGCAGAGTACATCAAGGGCGCAGCAGAGGTTCGTTTCGTGCCTTCGTTCATAACTATTACTTCTTCCCTGCTCCAAGGCTAACCAGGTCTTTGTTTGGCAGGCCGTGATTGGCAGCGTGACAGGCTCACATGCCTGGAAGGGCTCCGGCGAGCAGGACAAGGCGCACGCCGTATCGGCAATGAAGGCGGCGGGCGAGCAGAGGGATCCGAGCCAGGGATACGGCAAGGCGGAGGCGCTGGCGGGGAAGGCATTCGGGTGTGAGGGAATGGAGAAGGAGGGTGAACAATCCATGAGGAAGGAATAGAGCAAGGCGGTGTCGCAGATGGGGAAGAAGCAGTGCAGAAGATGGTACTGTTACACATTACTTGAGACTTCAAGGATATTTGATAACGGTAATTAACGCGAGAGACATGTATTATTTATCTATCAGTTCGGCATTGGTGTCATTATTCCTAAAGATTGCGACACTGAGCTGCCTCGATAGACCGGTTCAGCTATTGATGGTAGCGGTCCTCTCAGGACCCTGCAAACAGAACCAATCAGTCCGATGGTCTTGCCATCGGGTTGAAGGTCCTTCCAACTATCCATCCTGGAGACCATTTTGTCCAAACGCCATAAACAAAGCTCAATGTGTCGTTGTGGTCGTAACAAGATTCCCATCATGGTAGCCTGAGAGAAATATTTGTACAAAGTCTTATCCGGGTTAGGTCTTGTTGAGAGATGTGTGATCCAAAGTTCGAAAGAACAGCCACCCTATCACAGGTACTTTACGACAACTCGCATCCACTCTTCCTCAGCAAAGGTGCGAATTAGCGGCTTCGTGGCCAGTGTCGCTCCCGTGTGGGTGTGGCCCTGGTAAGTCGTGCCGTGGTATGTGTTGGCAATCAAGATTTGGTGGCCAACTCGCTCAAAACACAAAGCAGACTTCAGTCTGTCACAGTGCAGGGACAGTCTCTCGATCTGAGGAAGGTTTTCGAAGATGGCTGTGGCGATATGAGCTCTGTCATAGATTGGGCCTCTTCTCTCACATGCCCAGGGGGTGTCGCAGAGCACCAAGTCCTCGAGATTTTCGAAGGGTCTCAACATGTTCACAAGGTCCTATTTTTAGACTGTTAGAAGACTGAGACACTAGTTGAGGATTGATGGTAGTGAGGCATGTCTTGCTGCGTGCTGGGGAAAAGTAGTTACCTCGACTCTATAGAACTTGATACCGCCTCCAAGACCAAGTGCCACAACATTAGGGAACATAGTGAACAGCTCTAGGACGATCGTCAGCTCACTTTCTTTCAGGGAATTACAAGAGTGGCAGCACTTACCATAGATCTGGTCCTTGTCCCACTGTTTAAGTCCAGTGGTTCCTCTGTGTGTCAAGTGAAGGCATTTGATGTTGTATGTCATTGCCTGGGTCAAGATCGCACTGTTGGTGAGGGAGACATAAAATCGGTCACATGTAATATCAAGCTTGAGCATTTCAATGTTCGGGCAATGGTCGAGAAGAACGTTGATTCTTGGGAAGGCGACGCTGAAACGAACGTCAGCTGCTGAGTAGATTCCGAGGACTTTCAAGTTTGGCAGTGAAGGCATGTGAATGCTTGTGTTCCAGCCCCTAGCCATATGGTTGCCAGTCTGATCGTCTCTGGAGTAGTTGATTCTAAGGTTGAGCACTACAAGGTCCTCAATAGATCTCAGTGCACGGAAAACCCAATCGAGATAAGTAACAATTCGGTCAGGGACAAGACGATCAAGGAAGAGATGGAGATATCTAGGATCTGGTGAGATTCTCGTCGCTTCAAAGAAACAAATGAGTTAAACATACCTGACGTATTTGCAGAAGTCCTTGGGATTGCCATACATGTCGGTGATATACCGCAAGTTGATTGAGCCGGTTCGGGTTGTCTCACGGACCACAAGGTCGTGGAAGAGTGTAGGCTCACAGGCATGTCTGAACGTCTTGTTCAGAGCTGCCAGTGCCTGGAGTGTCTTGCCATCACAGACACGTGCCAGATGCCGGATGATGACCGGGGTCAGCTCTCCGAGACGGAATGCCATTGTGAGAACTGACAATGGAGCTTTGAGTAGGGATGATATCGTACTGGGATGAGATGGTGTCTAAGGGCTGTGACGGCTAGCTGCTTTATTGACTTGGAAGCTCACGTGCCTTTCAAAAGCTTCAGTAGTTTTGAGATAAAGCGGCGGGGGAGTTAAACTGCCAACCGGATCAAGTGTATATTGGGATCCTTTGTTAGGTAAGGCAGTTACGATGAAAAAGGGAAAACCATCTCTGCAAGGATTGAAAAGGATGGTGAGGTTGTGTGATGAGATTGACAGATTAGTAAAGGAGAAGAAGAGGATTGGGTTTTTTAAAAGCACTGTTTCAATGAAGGGAAACGACGAAGTCAGGCTCCAAGTTGTGCAAAGAAGGAAAGAGCGCTTGTTGTTGGGGAGGCTGTCGTCGAACCTCAAGCGACGCGTGCTATCGCGACAAAAAGGGGGCAGGAGGCCATCTCGTGGCAACTCACGTGAACACGGATTAGGCATCTCTTACTTGTCGCCAGACATGTGGCTGCATTAAGCAGTGAGCGATTCAATGGTCCAGAGACAATTTGCCATTTGGCAGTCGTTGATCCAATGGACAGTAAGAGATTGGTGGTGTAATATCTGACTCTCTAGGTAGTGTCGGGAGTGTTGGACAAAGTCCCTCCTGTAGGTAGTCTGAAGTCCTTTTTCTTCCTACCCTTTATGGACCACCTTGTCCTTGTTGAAAAGCCTAATGTACATGTTGCTCACAGGTAAAGTGTCTCCTCTAAGTTATTCACAATCATAATCTATAAAGTCAAGTTCACGTTAGACTTCGGACCCGGGATATTGAAAGACGTGGTGTGAAAGACGTGGTGCGGTGGTTACTCAGACTTATGACAGCATAATCCTGATTCCTGCTATATATGAAAGACATGTCCTGATCTCTTTACTAGAGTTCTGTATTATGACTGACCGTGATTTTGAATAACTTTCCCCTGGTATAAGTAATCAATCGTGGAAGAATCCCCTTACGAGTTTTGACTCAATCAAATAGAGGCGAGGCCATAGCAAACAATAAGCGTATGAGGCCATCCCAATTTGTCATTCGGCCATGACGGGTAGGATCGTTTTTGCCATTTCTGTCTTTGGGCACAATTCTCGGTCTTCATGCCTTTCCCTTCCGTGATTCCATGTTTGATATAATCTCGAGATTGGCAGTTTCCGTCTGTTCTCAACTACCCGCAAAAGGTGCAACAAGATGTTGTTATCCACACCTCCACGATGCAACGGCATAAATGGAGTTTCTGGCCACTCAGGGCGCTAGGCGGCCACATCCATGTTCAACGGTCAACGCTAAATATTGCCCGCAAATCAAGCTGCACACATGCTCAGAAGATGCAGGTGGTGCCGCATGGTAAATCCTGGGAGCACAGTTGCGACCAGCAAGTCTTTGATGACGTTATACGTGACGTTGTGGCTCATCACTCACTGAACTCGCCACGGCAGGTGGTGTGGCTGACTACAAACCGGGCACCGTAGCGTGGAAGGTGCGCAGGTGGAAGGGACTACTGAAGAATAAAAGAATAAAACTGCTGCATGCGACTTGCTAGTCGGGAAATAATGAAGCTCGCGATACCCGTTCCTTTCTACCTGTTCCTATTCAGTATTCATCATCCCTAAGAGAACTGAAATCATGTCGCGAATCCTCCTTCTCTGTTTTATCCACGGGTTCAAGGTAACGTGGGGCTCATGGGTATTTGTAGAAGATGGCCTGCTAACTGGCTTTGATTACAGGGCAACGATGACACCTTCGGCACTTTTCCAGCAGTACGCCTCAGAGTAACATTGCTTTTCTTGCCAACATGCATTAACCGAAAATGAACAGGACCTCAAGACCACAGTCTCTGCCCAACTCCCTGATCATCGAGTGGAGTCTGTTGTTTATCCCAAATATGAGACCAAAGGAGAATTGTCTGAATGCACGGCAGGGTTTCTGGACTGGTAAGAAACCGCACGCATCTAGATTTTGATCCCTCTGACAATGCAATGTAGGCTGAAGGAGAGAGTAATGGAGCTACGGAAGGCCCATCTCGAGAAACCGTGGCCGCCAAATGACAGAAACGTCGGAGTAATCCTGGTTGCCCATTCCATGGGGTGAGTGCTGATTATCCTTCCCCGTCGGTTACTGCAGTCTAATGCGATTTTCCAGGGGATTTGTGGCAAGTGATTCTCTCTTCCGCATTCTCAACGACCGAGCAGCCGATGACAATCAATCCGGACCGATATTCCCGTTGATTCAGGGTATTCTGTCTTTTGACACGCCCTATAACGGTCTCGCACGCTCAATGTTTGTCTACGGCGCTTTTTCCAACTACCAAAAAGTGAGCAGCGTTTTCAATGTCATGACTGCTCTCTCCGCTGCTCCAGCTAGTCTCGGGCTGGCGCTGAAGCGCGGCGCAACCTCTATCCCGGGCGCAAGCCGAGTCTCCAACCCTGCTTGGAAGACATGGCAACTTGTAGCGGTCCGAACTGGTACCGTAGGTGCTATAGCAGCCGGTGGAGTTGCAGCCTACGTTCACCGAAAGAAGATTGTCGAGGGTGTGCAAAGTATGAGGAATTTGAACAAGCAGTCCGTCATCGAGGGATACCAGCAGGGAGTGGATCGCCTAGGACAAGGACTCGCGTATGTCAACCGAGGAAACGTCGGGCACTCGTTTGCCTGGCTCTCAGACCACTTCACCTTCGTCGGCGTTCTCATGAAGCAGAATGAACTGAACAGAAGACTAGAACGGATGGCAGTCCTTCAAGGCGTCGGTATCCACGACTTCTACGCATCACTTGGCGAAAACGGCTACTGGAGCGGTGGGTATTTCGTGCCGGAGAGGACCTTCTGTGCCGTGCCGCAAGAAGACCAACCGGCCAATCTGCTCTTTTCTAGACATGTTGTCAAGAATGCCGAGGATGAAATACAAGCTCATATGAGCATGTTTAACCCTCTCAAGAATGAAGAGTATAGTGTCATGATGGAGCAGGCAGGGAAGCTGGTTGTCAAATGGTTCAACGATGACATCGAGATTGTCGACGACCCCAAGCTCGCACAGCCAGCTCCAGAAGAAGAGCCCGAAAAGGCTGTGAAAGCGACAACTGACGGTATCGAGGTTGCAGACGAGAGCAGCGTTACGAAGGATGATGATACCAAAACCAGCTCAGAGCTACCGGATGAGTCGCCTGTCGATATTGCTGCTGCCGCCTCACTGGTCCCTCTGCCTGACGACAGCGAAGAAACTGTCGGCGAGGTAACTCCAGATGAAAAGGAGAAGCAGACTTACATGAGATACCTCATGGGTGTTGCTCAGCAGGCCGGAACCGGTATTCAGCAGGCTGGTACAGGGCTAAAGGGTTTAATCCCCTCAAAGCTTCCTAATGTGGAAAGCTTTGGCAAGCCGAACATGCCCAACGTCAGTCTCCCGAGCGTCAGCATGCCGAGCGTAAGTCTATGGGGAAAGAAGCAGGAATCAAATGTCTCAGATACAGCTGCTCAAGAACAGAAGCCGGTGGGAGGCTCGGAAGCCAAGACAGATGCGGCACCGGCCAGCTCTGACAAAGAGGAGACAATCCTAGAAAGTTCGAAGTAGCCTGGATGGAAGTATGCGTTATGTAGCCGTGGATTCATACTTGATTGATTTTTCAATGTCCACTATTCAGAAGCAATTGCTGTGCTGTGACCTACCTGGCCTAATAACATAAAGCTTGCAGTTTTAAAGCACTGTAAGCCAAGATATATTGCCGTTTATGTCTGTTGATCACCATCTAATTATGGTGACATGGAATATATATTCAGATGCGTAGCTCAAGAGTGTGGTAAAAAAAAATATTATTTTAAGATTTTGGGTTTGTAATTATCACTCGGTTCATCCAGGTCACTCAAAATGGTGCATTGAAGCCTGTAGCTCACCCAAAACCGCTTTGATGCCGTTAGCCTTAGCTAGAACCTTTCTGCGGAGTTGTTCGAGCTGCTGCCGTTCCAGAGCCGTTCACTTTTCTAAGTGAACTCGTCACATTTCCCATCATCAATAATTCCGCCTGCATAATTAACTTATCGAACAGATCTCAAAGCAGCGCATATGTTGACGATGCTAATAAGCAATGAATTTGGCATAGGTTCCGAGGTACGGACATTAGAAGTGCTAAATGGCGGGGTATGGGTTAGTGAAATCTTGTGGCCACAAACAAAGGATAACATCTTCCTCTTTTCATGTGCGCCAAGTAGATCCCATTAGGAACACCGCTCAACTGCAGACCTACTTTTTACTCAGTGTGAGTTCTTTATTATGCAGACGTCGATCTGTCAAATTTAGGATTGAGGATATAGCTGTGGCCATGTCAAACAAAGCCTGACTGCAACTGCAAGTTCTTAGAGTTGAAGTTCATCATGCAACTGTCGTTGTACCATGAGAAGTCCGAATCTGTACAAGGCAACTAAAGTGGGCCTAAAAACGATTGACTGTCCGTGAAGATCTGGACGTTTACCACATCATCAACCAAATACCCCTTCCGTATCTTTGTTTTGAGCCCAGATCTTCTTCAGCTGCATTCTGGCAATCCGCCATCCTTCTGTAGTGCGCTTGAACTTGAAATTGTAAGGGCCTCCAAAGGCATGATACTCGTGGGGCTTAGATGTGTCCATTATAGCAGCAAACCACAAATAGCATGTACAGGTTGCTTCATCTCCATTGATGATGACATTCATATTCGTCATTGAGTGTTGCAATCCTTGAAACCGGTCCTCGGCCCCAGCCGCAATAGCGGCAATCTTCTTCGGACCGACGACCTCGTCCCAAACTTCAAATCCAAGGACACCATCAGACAGGAAGCAGTGACCGAATTCCTCCCACTGGTGAGTATCGCATAACATGCAGTAACGATTCAGCAGCGATACAATCGCGTCTTTGTCTTCGAGAGCTCTTAGGCGCTTATCGAATGCCTCAATTTTCTCATGAGAGCTCATGGTGATCGGTTACTTTGGAACCAACAACAGACACTGAAAGTATTATCGAGCTTGAGTGTTTGCAGTACGGCGGTGTGTGCCGATAAATATATGACAGGATTTCGCCTGACACGTTCTACCCCTCGTAGAGACTTGTAAATCCTGCTCTTATATTCCGGGTCCGGACATCAAATCCGAGCATCAACTGGTACAGGGAGTTCGGCACGATCTCAAATCTAGCTTGCCAAGACTCTGTACTGTATGTTCGTTGAACTAGTCTGACATGTATGCGGGGAAGGTAGAATGTGGTCAAGCCTTTGTATGAGACGGGGCATGCGGCTTGGGAATTCGGAAAACGATAAGAGTCAGGCTGATCTACGCCATAGATGAGCTGTGTGTGCTTTCAATATGTTATCTCGGCTCTCGATTCAGGCTTCCAATGTTAGGGGCTAGAACCGCACGGTAGACCAGTCAACATAACTAACAAGATGAATCTTCAGCCTTAGCCCTTTTGAAACAACACTCGCTGTCTTCAATTGACTTTATCCTCCATCGTAGATAGAAATAAATTGCGTTCTATTAGTTTCAACAATCATGAAACTAGAGCATTCTAAAAACCATCGTGGGGGAAATAACCATAGCTAGATGACTGCCGTACTTTCAATCGGCTCATCATTTCATACAACTATGATTTAGCAGCTGGGCATACTTTTGTACTGGACTTTTTCTTAGGTATCTCATGGGGGCTTAGACATGTTGCAGTGTCCCCGCTATGAAGCTATCCCAACGCCACTCACGTGTGCAGGATGCTTGATCGTATTTGTTCACCGACTCAGCCTTACCTTATCAGTTACGTCAAGACTTCAATCCTTGATAATTACGACAAGACAATCTCCTTAAGGCTTGAAACGTTACTTAATTCATAGGTCATTTTAGTGCTTGATCATGCGACTTATCAATACAGACACATACCGCTTCGAAGAATTCATCGGAGATGATATCCCTGGATACACAATCCTCTCCCACACTTGGGACGAGGACGAAGTCACATACCAGGACATGAAGGACCTTTGTGCCGACGCTACTAAGAGAGGGTTCAGAAAGATACAGAGGACATGCCAAATAGCCCGTAATGCGGGGTTGGAATACGCTTGGGTTGACACGTGCTGCATCGACAAGTCAAGCAGTGCCGAGCTAACAGAGGCTATCAATTCTATGTTTTATTGGTATCAACGTGCAGTATTCTGTATCGTGTATCTAGCAGACTTGCCAGTATCAGCCTCGTTGGACGAACACCTTCCGGAATGTCGCTGGTTTACACGCGGCTGGACGTTGCAAGAACTGATCGCGCCTTCGGATGTTCGCTTCTTTGATACGTCATGGACCTTTCGCGCTACAAAGGCTGGACACCTAGACATGCTAGAGCGAATCACGGGTATTGATAGCGACGTTCTACAACAATCCAAATCCACAGCTCAGGTGCCGGTCGCACGCAAGATGTCGTGGGCGGCACGTAGACGAACAACACGCATAGAAGACATGGCATATTGCCTCTTGGGTATCTTCAATGTGAATATGCCTTTGCTGTACGGGGAAGGAGATAAAGCATTCTGGAGATTGCAAGAAGAGATCATCAAAACCACGCCTGATCTCACTATCTTTGCTTGGAAACGAAGATTCGAACAATTACATGATTACGACCCAGTGGACAGGACTTATTGTGGAGTTCTAGCTCGAAGTCCTCGTGATTTCGCGGACTGCGGTTGGTTCTCATTTATTTCAGCCTCTTCGGAGGCTGAATTCGTTCTTACCAACCAAGGAATCAAGATCCATGTCCCGGTGATCCTAGAACGGCTATGCGGTGCTCAAGGACAGCGGTACGTCTTCCCCGTATGCGTCACAGTACTTGGACGCACTCTCGGAATCAAACTTCGAAAGTATGGACCGAGCCAATTCGTCCGGGAGGATCCCTGCAACCTTGTTCCTGTAGATCCTCACCGGAGAGAGAGCGTATCTCGGACAGTTCACTTTCTTACACAAGGATTCTGGTTAGACCGCCCTAGTCAAGACGTGATAAACAACTTTCAATTCTATTGGAGACGGCGGCATGCTCTCAAACTTCGGTTGCCACCTGATATGCGGATTTCGAATGTCCAACCGTGGAGTCGATGGGATGACGAGGATCGAGTGTTCTTCTTGCCCGAGGGCTCGGCGTGCGATTATGGAATGGCTAGCATTCGAGGACAGGCACCAATATACGTGAAAGGAGAAGTAGTAAATCTTTCCTTTGAATGCACATTCTACGCGCTTGGGTGGGTGAGACGAGACAGGGGTCTGCAATGTTCGGTTATCAATTCGCGACATTTCAACAACGCTGTTGATCGAATCAGATCTCATGGAATTGAGAATGAGCTTACGACTTCTCAAATACGGCATCTATTAGAGGACGATGAGATACCTCGCACGGATGCGACATTCATTCACTTTCCCAAGGCAAATGTCAACATCTTAGTTTCTTTCACCGTTAGGCTGATTCTTGACGACTGTACGTATCTGAATGGGTTCTGGGAGGTTGATCTTCAATGGCAATTTTGTGCTGATGACCAATCGCCTAATATTCTTCATCAGAGCTGGTAAGGCAGTTGAAAGCTTTTGAGACCACAGATATCAATTTATGAAGATCTTACAGAGCCTGGGAAATGAAGCAACGCAACCCGGTTAGGATCAGGCACAATATCAGTCGCTACCTGCTAACAATGTAATTTGCGATCTGATTCAATAACTTGTTGGGGATACTTCACATTGAACTGAACTGAGCCGAAGTAACAGTATTCGTTCTATCTTTAGGACTGCTCGGCCGTCAGACAGTTCACTCTTCTGGGCTGATGGTGGGGGCTGAACTCCACAACCGATTTGCAAAACATCATTGATTCCATATCAATATTGCTTACTCTTCGGCGATTGACCAATGACAATGGTTGAAGTTGAAAAGACCACTGTTCTGAACCAACGATTAGGACGACTGCTTTTATGCTCAAAAATATGGATATGCAATGCTACACGGTAGTCACTAACTCCACTGGAATCCAGGTGACCAGTTATTCTGAGCAAACGTACAATGAGCCTAGCTAAGCGAAGAAACTAAATGGAATACCACGTAACAATGGAATAGAGAAGTCTCAGGTTGGCACGGGAGGTAATACGAGCTTATGGATGTTCGCCCTAGTACTTGGTAGTCTTGTTTACTCAACAGCCACAAATGATTACAGTTCGATGAACCTCATATTGTAGACAGTAGTAAGCACCTAGCGTTTTACCAGCGCAGGAAAGATGCTATTCCAAGCTCGGGACTGCCAAGTTTATCAGCGACCACATTGCTAGATATATAAACACTGAAGATGATATCTCGTGGTGCTTTAAACTCGAGTGATTCTATAAGGATACCAGATTAGATTTCGTACTATTCTTCTCGATATGGCTAGACTTTTGACTCTGGTTCTAGTAACATCCATGTGCCAATGGATGTTACCGGCTTCAGCCCAAGATCTCTCATCTAAATCACTTCTCTTCTCGGACGGATTATCTCCGCACGTTGATAAGGCATTTTGGACATATTTACCATCGCAGCAAAGTGTCTGGCCACCAAATAAATGGGCATGGGGACAGATACCAGATTCGTGTTATGATCTCGTCACTAGCCAGGGGCTTTGCAATCCTTACGATGTTGAAGTCTACGATGTGAAGTTTCCTGATGTGAGCTCGATACTGATGGCGACAAACGTATCGGGTTGATCACTCTAACTTCTTGTAGTGCGATACTCCTTGGGTGCTTTGCCGTTGCAACAATTCGCCATTGCCGCTAGCGAACATGGTTGACATGATTGGGTGAGTATTTATTTGCGTAGGTGAGGCTCACGAGGCACTGACATCTTTCTTTCCTAATCTAGTCGTGTTCCAGTTGCTACTCGACAAGTTGTGCGGATGTTTGCTTCCATGGCACCGCCTGCTGGATCCAGTGCTGGCGCTTATGCTTTTGGTTGGAACGATCTTGTTTTCGTCGGCGGCCTTGAGGTCTACGATATGTCCGGGATACTACATGAGTCAGGCCACATAATCGACGCTTGGGGGAGTGGTCAAATTGATAATTCCCATCAATCCTCCCGTAAGTGGTTTTAGATACAATGGTCACGTCAAATGTTGTTTTTAACATGGGCTTTGTTCTCTAGAAACTGCCGAGTATACCGCTGCAATTAACGCAGACTCGTGTGTCCCAGACAACTATGCGAAAACTAACTCCTTGGAGGACTTTGCCCAAGTTGTTGTATTGGCTTCGTATGACGTGAATGTGCCAGGTGGCCTCCAGAGCATTGCATCTGGGTCTGGCTGCCTGAAAAATCAGTTGCAGTACGTGAAAGACAGAGTTGGATCACGCCTCAAGCCTGGCGGCACTTGCAGTGGCCGATGGGGCCCTGCGTAAGTACCATGTTCTATTTTCAATATGGCTTTACTAGCACACAGACATGTTGTTTCCCTACTAATCATTTGCGACGACAGAACCTCGGTATGCATGGGACCCGCGGCCGGATGTTGTCCAGATGGAGGACCGGGGTGTCAGTAGCTGGGGACTGAAAGCATGGCGCTATGGAGGTGTGATTCAAATGCAACCATGTGATAATGAATGATCAATAAATAGCTATATACCAGCTAAGTCAGGAAACAATATGGTTGATCAAAACATTCATCCCAGCTCGTCTTTTCCGATTTCCAGAATGCTTCTAGAACACTCTTTGCAGTTAGTGGCAAAGCTGTACCTAGGCCATGACTCAATCTTGAGAGCTCCTTGCTAACAAATGTCTGTGAAGCATGTCTACCCTCAACATTAATTGCTCCAAGTACCACTAGAGGCCATATAAGACTTTTCTTTACGTGAGGAGAGGTGACGGCCTCTTGTAGTAACTCGAGCAAGCAACTTGTTTCTCCGTCCTTTGTCTTCACCAATTCTGGCGAATGTGGCAATGCAGATGCACTCTGAAGAGACGCAACACAGTATGCTGCGATGGCAGCTTTGAAGATGCGTGCTATTAGTAGCCATGCCTGTCGGAAGCTAACCTTGGCCTCACTCCACTCCTCCGAAGAGAAAGCCAACACGTCAGCTAGCACGTCCCTTGCAGCACCCTGACATTCAACACTGATATCTATAGAGGTCATAGCTTGTGAGCGAAGTTGGTTGATTTGAATGAGTTTCAAAAATAACGGGAAAGGGCATGGAAAGGATGGAAAGTAGCCGATGCTGTACAAGTCCGACATCTGATCGACCATTTCGAGATGCGTATTAGAAGCAGTTTTCTCTAGTGCAGGGCTCGTTGTATCTCCAACGACTTCGACACTATTGTTGAAATCAAGTCAGAAGATGAACAGGCGGGTAGCCAATGGCATCAGAGGCTTGGTAGCTCAACTTACAAGATGTACGTGAGCAATTGTGGTTGCATGTAAGGTGCAGAGCGTACCAGGGTTTGCCACCCGCCGCGAAGCGAGACAAGGGCTGTCAGGCCATCCAGATGGTATCTCCAGTTGGTCGAAGGGGATTGTTGTAGCTTGATGATTGTTATTAGGAACGGTTAGGTGATCGCAGATACAGGATCAGACCTACCTCTGCTATCAAAAACAAGCCCACAGTACTTATAGTGAAGTCATTGCTACGGGTCGCCTCTTTACTAAGATCCTCATTGAGACCACGAATGGATAAGTCATGATAGTGATATGAACGTGACCATAATTCGTTTGCGGACGTCTGCTCCGCATTTTGTGACAGCTGGAACGCACGGTGTCTCAACGCCATCGAGACCATAATACGAATTGCCGCGATAGGAAGATACCTAAAGAGCGGCACGACTACTGGTGCAATAAATGGGGTCGGCGCTAGCTGATTCATTAGAAACATGGGGTATATATTATTATTGTCTATCGAGTTCATGGTTAGCATCTGCTTAAGCGCGCAGGCCCGCCCCTGTAGGAATGACTTGCAGTAGTCGGCAGCCTCTAGAGACTGTTTAGATTCGACATTGAACTCTGGCTGTACAATGAGTTGGTGATTCTGGACTCCAGCGTCCGGCTTTTTCTTCGTCTTGATCACTGAGCTTTTGTTCGCCTCGCCACTGTTCTTCGGGGAGCTTTTTCGCTTTCGTTCGCGAGACTTGACTTTCCCGGGGGCAAGCCAGGTCAATGGTTTTCTATCACCATACCCAGGACATACAATCCCTGTAATACGGCATTTGTTACAAACAGGTTTGGTTTGGTCGCAAACAAGTCGGCGTCGTTGACACTCCCAGCACCACGGGACTTGGCGCGTTTCTGTCCTAGACTCATTGCTCTCGGATTCAGGCATACTGCAGCGATTCCGTCGTAACACTACAATTTTGCAAACTGCTTGAACAAAAAGAATGCTCTTCGACTACATTGAGTAAATCAAGGTACCTGGGTAGTGAATGGCGAGCCGCCATCGGCACCACACGACTACCTGTTATAGCTCGTCAAGGAGCAGTCGTCACGGCTGAACCCCCGAAGATGCTGCAGGCTAACTTAGCGGCGAAGGAAAGTCTTGGCCAGAGTTTTCTCCAAATGGGGTTAAGTGTCTTGGAAAATCCACTAACGGCGGCTGTGCTTGTGGCTGGTATGTCTCCACCGTTTGCCCAGCTTGGGAAAGGCATCCTCATCATTCATTATATCATCTTCTCATGTCGTAAATGCGTCAACTAGCATTCTACGCTAAAAAGAAAAGTAACAAGACGCTCATCGTATCCGCTAGGTAACAGCTTGTCATCTCCATCCATAGGCTTCTCCCGTTGAGATCTCCGTTTCCAGTATCGCAAATGTCGCATTCCAATGCTCAAAACCTTTGCGAGTTTTGATCCCCTTTTTTGTCGATACCCATGGCAATCTCTCTCACTGTCACGAATCTGGTAATTTATTATACCACATGAGAGTTCGGACTTTTACATGGTCTTAGCGAGTCATCAAGTCCATACAATTCACACACGTTGAGTAAATGTGGCAACTAAGCAGCATTGTAACTATCTTGACAACTTTGTTAAACTAGTATTATGCCCATGGGCATAAAAGGGTGTTCTGAAATTGAAGAGGGAACCGTCACTAGGCTAACTTGCTTGGGCATGAGTACATTTGCTGCCATTTCATAGGACTTTCACAGTGGCACATCTCAAGCAAAGTCGCTAATTGGACATGATCCACCTCACATGGTAAATGACAGCGTTTAACGATGCTTTACATCTTCTGGGAGATGCCGTATTCCTCGTTGTCTGTGATTGGCGCAGCGCGGTTGTCCGTCTTATTGAGCTCGCCCTCCTTGACGCCGAAGTTGGTCGTCCCAGTAGTGGGATGAATATCGGCGGTGTCGATGCTGGTGGACAGAACGTACTCTTCCTTGTCGACGTGCTTGAAGAGGAACCACTAATCTATGTTAGCATATATCAATCTCAATCTACTTGCACAGTTTTGTTGACACTGCGTGCTGTGGTTCACGAGGAAGACTTACGAAGACAAAGGTGGTGATGAATCCCAAGATAGCCGGGCCACCAAAGTCCCAGATAAGATGAGGATCGACAACCACGGACGAACACGCCAGGTTGACGATGTAGGCAATGGCGGTATTGAACAGGTTGATAGCGGACACCAATCCTCTCATGTTAATCGGCGCACGGGAGTAGGCAATGCCATAGGCGGGCACGTTGATGAAAAGCTCGGAGAAGCCACCAATGGCGTATGGGAGACCCATCCACCAGACCGAAATGGGGGAAGTCAGACCGTTGTCAACACACTCGGGATCGGAGGACCCGTGGTAGCCGCAGGGTGAAGTCTTGTAGGCATAGTACTGCAGGACGGCGTATGTGATACCACCGCATGTTGATAGGAAGAAGCCCGTGCAGATACGCATGACAGGCCCGTAGTGAATCTTGGCCTTGCGCAACAGTGGGTAGAGACCAAAGTTGAGGAGCGGTGAGCCAATGATGATAGCGAAGGGGTTGAAGTTGTTGAGGACATCATTGGGAGCTCCGTTGGTCGTAAGCATGGTGCTGAGATAGCTCGCGGCATTGGCAAGACCGTTGTCGTTCCAGTATTGAACGGGGAAGAAGCAGAACATGCCAGTGGCCTGGAAGGTACGCTTCACATCCTCGACGAATTGGTCGTTGTAGCGTGTCGTGACTGGCAGCCCCATGGCAGCCTGGACTGAGGGCTTGGCTGGTTCCCACCATCCTTTGCGACCAATACGGGCGAAACCGCCCTTCTTCATGCAATGACCCAGAACGACGAACACGTTAGGCAGGTCGGAACCGCCGGGCTTGTGCAACACAAGGCGCTTCTTCAGGAACATCATGAGGAAGGGCAGGGGCAAGTAGAGGAGGAGAGGTAGCAGCCAACTGAGCCACCAGCCCACATACTTCTCCGAGTAGGAGGTAGCAACTTGCATGAAAGCGCCCACATTGATGAGGAGGTAAAACCACAGCATAGCTCTCTCAGTGCTGTGCTCTGGGTCCTGGATCACACGCTCGCCAGTCTTCAAGGTGATGACCTTGGGCACATGAGTCGTCATTTGGTCAAGCAGCAAAGGCGAGACGTTGGGCTTGAACATGGCTAGCGCGGCGATGTGAGTGACTTTTCAGCATTGATGCGAGCATTTGAGTACTTACCAGCACCGACGGCGAGGATGTAGATACCAACAAAGAAAGGTCCCTTGGCAGAGCCATCGGAAAGCAGAGCCTTGGCCCCTGATGCTACAAGAATGACGTGACCAACGCCCATGACGAAAATTCCCCAGAAAATCATGTTGAAACGGCCGGTCCTGGTATCGGCGAGATATCCAGTTATTAGGGGAAGTCCATATGCTAGTAAACTGAACGATTGACCAACAGCGTTCTATTTGGTGTCAGTCGTTTGGTCTCTCTCTCTCATTCCAAGCAGAGTAAGATGCTTACAGCTTTAGCCTCACCCATGCCCAAGGCGCCTATTCAGCTATCGTCAGTCATCTAGTCTCAAGCCAAATGGATACCTGTGCTATTGGAATGGCCAGGCTGAGGGTTTTCCATACCAGCAGTCAGCTGTGTTCCTCGCGGGGGCGCTCCATAGCCGTTGCCCCCCTTAGGCAATGGACGGTTTACGAAGTTGCTGAAGAGACCCTGGCAGCCTCGAGAACAGTTAGCCGAATGCAATCATGCTATCTCAAGCTAAGTAACAAACCATAGTAGGATGCACGCTCGCAGAACTCGACAGCACAAAGAAGGTATGCCACAGTGGGGATCTTGCCGGGAACACGACGTAGCGTAGCCAGCTCTTCCTCAGTAGGCTTGCCTTCGTAATCGGCCTCTAGAGCGGGAGTGTAAATCGGCGCATGTTCATCGCCGGGGGGAGTGAGGCCCCCGTTACTGATTTGCTTCTCAGTGTCGGCTTGTCTCGCGAGTTAGTCTGCAGGTTGATAAGGGTCTAGATGAGGGCGGGCCATCTTACACATCGAGTATCTCTCGCGACTGCAGCTCGAGGACAACTGCGTGCTTGACTTGCGACGAGAGAAACAGAGAGGCAGTACGATAACGATGCCCGGGGGCCTTCATTTAAATAAGAGCCGGATGTGTGGGTGTCATTGCGCATGTAGCGTATCAAGCCTACAGTCGCAAGAATAGTAATGCCTGTACATATTAGTCTAATGCACACACACAAATAGACAGACAGCTAGATACCCCGAACAATATTGAATGAACACACACACAACACCCGCTGCCCACTCTCAGCCATCATATCGGCCCGTCATCGAATCGCATGCCCCGATAACCATTTCTGGCCTGAGTTCCGTCGCACCACCGCACCACCGCACCCTTAGCCTGCTCGGGGGCTGGCACGGCGGCGTATTCTCTCTGGGATCTGGTTCGCCGAGCGCCCTGGGCACGATCAAGCTATAGCCAAGCAGGATCAAGGGCATCGCACAAAAGCTTGTTGTGCTTGATTACGCCACGACGGCGTCCACTTCGTGATAAAGCTCCTGCCAAGACGGGTAACCGGCGGGGTGCGCTAGAAGGGGGATCGGCGCTAGATGCCTTCCAAAGAAGCCTAGAAGTATGCGGGATTGGGAAGGTCATTGATAACCAGCGCTGACTAAAGCGCGATTGCTGTGTGGACAGCCACTGGTTGGCATTGGATGTCTTCCATTGCAAGATTGCCCCTATCATCAAATCATAATATCACGAGTGGCATGGGTCTGCCCGGCTAATACGGCTCGTATGCATGTGCATGCCCGCCCAGCACCTATGCATGTATGCATGAAGATGACCAAGGGGCGGGTTTGGCAGGTTATCTCCCTGTCTCCCCAGTCGGAGGAGCACACATTGGTTCGACGGCTACCCGGCAGGCCTCATTTGACACCTGCCTACGAGGGTATTTAGACCCTGTGCTTCAGCTCCGACGGGGCAAACCTGGAGGGATGGGAGAGATGCCTGATTATTCTACACGGACTTAGCAACATCACGAGATTTGGGTGATGCCCTCTCACGGATCGGCTCGAGTCAGGCAACAATCCTCTTATCAGGAACGCCCTGAGCTACGAAGTCGATCGGATCTCGATGTGAGGCAATCGCGAACGATCATCGTCAATCGACACACCTCCATTCCAGATTGACGCTCTAGACATATGTCACCAGTGACGCATGGTCTTCAATGTAAAGCGCACGAAGACCTTTTCAGTAAACGTCGAACACATCGTGCTGGTTATCGACTTTGGCGCTATCATTGATGACCTCAATTGAGACACGTCTATCGAAACGATGACAGGTCCTTGATGTTGGAAAGCCCCCTACAAATGTTGTCTGTTGAATAGATAGAGAAACCGGAATACTAAATAGGAAGCTCGTTTGTCACACTTGAAATTGAACAGAGCCTAACAACATTTAAACCCGTAAATGCTTGCGGTGATAAGAGGGCAGAAACCGCACTACCAACACTTTCGTCATGGTCGTAACTCGATGTCGCTAGCGTCGCGAGAGGCGTATTGGGAGGGCCGCGCGGTTTGTCGGGAAGCCGCGCAGTGTAACGATCCATAGAACAAGATGGCTTCTAGACGCTGATGTGTGTGGATAATGCGCAGAGATTTCATGTGCAATGATTCGATTCCTCCCTTTGTTACTACCGACCGAATGGTTTGAAGTATCCGCTCCTAACCGGCGACAGCTCCGGGACTTTGCTAGAGCAGGCAGTTAGTTCTGGCTCTACCTAGCATGCAGTAGCTCTCCCCAGACCAGGGGCTTTGCCCAGATTGCGGCGTTCGCGTAATCTTAGTGGCAACTTAAACAAACACCGTGACTGGGCCTCAGATACCGGACTCCGAATTCCGAATAAAAAAAAATGTTCACTCTTGCATCTCAAAGTTGGTAATGACAGGAAATGAGCTTCTAAGCGTATTTCGTAGTAAAAACCTAGTAACTCTGCTGCAAAGCTACTCTTGACATTGTCTCTGTGACACCCCGCGATAGATCCCCTTAAGGAACAAAAGCCACTGCTCCCTACGACTAATGCTCATTTCAATCAAGCTGGGGAGGCCCCTTTTCTAAGGCGCTGCTGCGATCCACTATTCACATGTTCATACCCATTAGTCTCCCAGAAGGGTTGCTGCTGTTTACGTCCTTTTGCAAAGAATCCAAATGGATCTAAGGCGGTTATCAGGAAGCTGCGCTCGTCTTTCCAGCCAGGACCATCGAGCTCTGTGATTCCATCTTGGGCAAGATAGGTATGGTAGTTCTCCGGGAGATAGCGTCTTGGATGTCGAAAGTTCCAAAGAAAAGAGTTGGCCAGCATGAGACTCGCTTCGAACACATAGAAGAACCATTCGTATCTAATTATAGGACTGAGAGACATCGGGTCGATGTCATCACCGATTCGAATGTAGGAAATTCCGAAGTACTCGACAGTACGATAAATTGTTCGGATCATGATGAGGGACATGCTGATGTCCAAGGTCACCAAAGGCGCCCATATCTTCTGAGTACGGACGCCGCCCTTGTGGCATTTTTGGTGAAATAGCCCGGCCAATAAGCAGAAGAGGGATATAACGACGATTTGAATTATCAGAGACGCTTTCATCAACGCGTGACCCAGGTCGATCAAGTTCTGGGGTAGTGTTCGATTGGCTGTGTAAGCAACGCCTATCGCGTTGAGAACCTCGACAAGACTAGACAACATGCCGAAAGTTGTAAGGACGCGACCTGGATGTAGTGGGGAGAAGTAAGGTACGTAGTACAGTACGCGACCAAGGATGTGGTAGTTTCCAAGCTCGAGAAGTGGTCTTAAATGTTGATCGTCTGTTAGCAAATTGATGTTGCCATATGTTAGTATGACACTACTCACGGAGATGCGTAAATGAAAGTCGTGCTAGCAATATACACATTCAAATTGTCGAAATCGAAGGCACCATACTCTCGCAACGCAAAGCCTACGGTGAATAGTAGAGCACATACTGGATACAATGCTGTTACTTTGAAGCATTTGTAACGACTGCATTATAAGGCTATTAGGATTTGAAGGAAACAAGAGAGTGACAGAAAAGACCTACTAGCATTGCCAGAAATGCCATACTCCGGAGACTGCGAAGGCTACAGCGAAGAAGGCTGGAGCGCCTTTATTTGGGGCGTAGAAATAGATGCTCCCGGAAACTTTGACCAGTCAATAAAATTCAACACGATCACAGAATGCACCGAATCTGTACCTGGTTTCCCATTCTCGGACATCTTGTGAAATTACCAAATCCCAGTTCACTGCTGTGTATTGCAATCTAATCGAAGTGTCCCGCGTGTAACAGGGGAGGGAAAAGAGTCGGCTGTCCAGTTTTTGAAGGTTGAATGAAGACAGTCCTCTCCATGATCAGATACAGACTCCGCCTCTGAAGTCTTTATACCCTTGACGCTTTGCCAAGTTGGATCATCTGCCTGAAAGTCAAACCCAATGCCACCAGGGCAATATCCTAAAAGGGTAATCAGATGTACCTCAGTACCGCCAATCAGGGACCGCAACTCAGCCACCCGACTTGGACAGCTGCGCCCGCTCTCCACAGATCTGGGTACGCTAAACCGTAAAGAGAAAATGCGCTGGCCAAGACCGATTCTTCACGCGACGACCCGCGAGATTCCTCTCCAGCTCTGCGGTAGTTTTGACGTCAGAACGAGTTTTGATTGATCAAAGCCTAGCAGGGCGCAGAGATCTCGGGTGGGCCGTAAGATGCCGGGCAAATCATCGTGTGGTGATCGAGGTAAGTGGGACCACACCCGCCCACATCGTCAATGGCTGTGAAGTTAATGAATCACAGCTTCGGATAATGCCTTGTCTTTGGTGCGACAGCACTCGGCGACACCGCGAGTCGGATTGTTTGGCTTGCATATATGACTGTCTACTAACCCAGCATGAAAATGTGATTATATTGACCGTAACAACGGCCAAGCCATTCTCAATACTCGAAAACAACCCATTACTAAGCCACTGAGAATCTACCTCCGAAATCTCACAAACATGCCGCTATTCAGAAAGAAGACTCAAGAGGAAACGGATATGCCTCCACCTCCTCCTTTTTTGAGAAAGATCAATTCACGGATGTCAGCCAACTTCCACCATACGAAACCCCAAGATACAACGAGCCCACGGACAACTCCACGAGGCTAGTATCAGCAACACGGAAATTCCCTCCAGCATTAAACGGCTATTTTTCCTGGAAGTCTCTCAGTACGTTCCACCTCGGGCCATCATGCAAAGAGAGGCTTTTCACACTAGGGTTGCATTGTGGATTCTTTAGCGGCAAACCTCCCATGATCTTGTATGATGGGCCGACCGACAAAGACCCAGTCCTAGCTACATCAAAGACGGAAAAGCATATCATGAGCCGCCACCTCCAGATAAATATCCCGCCTCGCTCCCAAAATCCAAACGGCACGTCGATTCCATTCAACTCCTGTGCCCGCACCTTCTCGGTATTTGTCCCCGGGCCAGACAAAGAGTCCATGGAGGTTCAGTTCGAGTGGCGTAGGAGCCATGGAAGTGAGATCAAAGACCTGGCTGGGAACTCATACGGCTGGAAGCTTGTGAGACCGAAAGGTCCAGCAGTGGCAGCTGGAGGAAGCAGGCAAGAGCGAACGAAAGGAACCACGAGTGATGGCAAGGAAATACTTGCAGTTTTTGCTTACAGTGTCTCTTCAAGCATTACCAAAGCCCTGAAATTTGCCTTCATGGGCGAGGGCCTCACAGGTGTTTTGGGGGAGGAGTGGGAGATAGCCGCGGTCATCTCGGGTTTGTGGCTTTGGTTCCTGGACACGCAGGTATTTGTTGCGACTACTGCTGCATCATGATGAGGAGGGTTTGTGTCCTTTGAAGTTCAGGGTTGTACATGACATCAGGATGGGGGAGTCAAGGTGCATTTGCTGATGAGGCGTTCCTAATATGATATCCAATTAAACCGTGTGAATTAAAGTCATTTATCAAAAG